ATAATAATTCATGATTTCCAAAGATAATAAGTCTTTTTGCAATTCACCAATGAGAAAAATTATAGAGTGATTTCTGTAGATAATGCTAAAATGAAAATTAATTCCGTATATACGTTAGTTTAAAAAATAATTCTTACCGTACCGTCCACGTAGGCTCGGTTACAAGGTTCCCTTTTTTTCTTTTTTTAAATCTATGCTTGTATTGAACCGCTACTACTGATTGCGGCTCTAGCTTAAATAGAACCGTTAATGGTATTAGCGGTTCCATCTAAAGAACCTCTAATGGTGTTCTTTTAATAGAACCTCAAATACCATTAGCGGTTCTTTTGATAGATTCTCTAATAGTATTAGCGGTTTTATTCTAAGATAGAACCGCCATCACCATTAGCGGTTCTAAGCTGAAGGTACCATAACTTAAGTTTTCCCTGTTTTCCTACACCGAAATTATTAAAGCCGATCTTTAACCTGCACTCCCTAATCTTGTTGTAGGTTGTAATTTTACTTCATAATTCAGCAAATACATTTATAATATTCAATAAAATTCACCAAAATCAATACTGAAAACCACCATTTACAGCATATAGTCAAAAAGCCTAAGTACATATATTTATGTTGGTATGTCTAAATTATAAATATTTACATATAATTCACAAAAGAAGCTTATATTCAACTACGATTCACGTTTCTTTTTATGAGTTGCTGAAGATCCCATCCCATATTCATCTACCTCCGTAATAGTGTCCAACAAGGGAAAAACAGAAGATGTGGATGTGGATTTGCGTCTGCCATAAGTACGAGGCAGCGGGGGAGATATAAGTGTTGGAGATAATAATGATGTAGAAGTAAGATTGAAAGAAGAAGGTGACATGGGTGAAGAAAGTGATGAGTGGTGTTGGGGCTGAGGTGGAGGTGGAGGGGGAGGAGGAGGAGGAGGTGGTGGTGGAGGGCGAGGAGGTGGTGGAGGGGGAGGATGAGGAGGAGGTGGTGGAGAGGGAGGAGGAGGTGGAGAAGTCGTCAGCAAGCTAGGAGATGGGTGTGGGAGGAACAAGATGGTGATGCGATGGGAGCTCTACGTTCCCAACGTCGAGGAGTTGGTCGGGTAAGAGTAGGTTGGGAAGGGGAAGAGTGAAGTGCTAGACTATGGTGCAGTAGATGAGGAGGATGTAGGGCGAGAAAGACCAATGTCATGGAGAAGATATCCCTTGCCAATTGCATGTAAAGTATCAGCACATGAAGTTGCTAGGCTTTGTAGAGTATGCAATGTGAGCTGTAATGCCTTGTCACCTGGCAATTCCGACGCGGTCTCTGAATCTCGAGTGCATTTCCTCACCACATCGGCTAATTCCTGAGCCTACACCATATAATAGACAAAAATAAGACTATAAATATATAACCTAACACAATGTAAGACAGCTAATAAAATCCAACATTTTAGTTTTAAATCCTACCAACACAAACTCGGTCGAAGCGGGTTGGTAATGAGTCGAAGGGCGCTCTAGTGTAGTCGGGGTGATAATGAGACTCGTAATCTTTCGATACCATGACATATATGTCTATAATGAGTTAGCTTGACCCCTCATCGGGTTTCCTATGACAACCCTGTCCTCTCGTTTTCGCCACTCCTCCAAATATCGAGCTGAGCATGGATCACTTTAGAACTCTTAGTACGTACTCCTCGTCGGTCCATACGATGGAGTGACTCACCAGTGTTACATGGAAGTGGTATGGTCTACTCGAATCCGAATTGGCGCGTTACTCGATCAGGATGATGGTACTCAACAATATCAAAGCAGATCAACGGTGAATAAGTGCGCCAAATATGTCTATCAGCTCGACATATCTCTGGAAGTGCAGCAAGAATCTCTTCGGTATACGGTTGCCATGTCATCTATTAAAAGTCACAATTATGATAATTATAATCATTACACATTTCAGTTAAAGAACATTATTAAACAAAAAAGTAGTGTTGCCTTTTCGCATAAATATACCTGATCCTCAGTTTGGCGATCTAGTGCATCACGATAGTATGAAATGCAACTAGCCGAGTCCACTCGTGTAAAGTAAATACATAACCAACTGTAAATATAATAGAGTATTACAAATTGCAAATATATATTTGGAGAAAAAGTGATACCTAAAATTTTTATAATGCTTCTTGCTGATGTGCTATAATTAAATTGCAAAATACTATTAAAGGTTCTTATTGTTAGTGAACAGTGGGAACTTGTTTTTTTTTTTTTTTTTTTTTTTTTTTTTTTTAAATATAAAAAGAATGGTTACAGTTCCAGAAGTGATAAACCATGTAACTGAATAGACCAAACAAACTTTTATAGTATGAAATGCATCTAGTCCTAGCTTTCATTGCTTTAAACTTCAGAAATTCATGACAAACATTCAATATGTAGCATCCTGCTTTTAATTAGTCTGTAGCATCCTGCTTCTAATTAGTTTGAGCACAACAAATAATAAATACCCAGAAGCTGATAGAGGTTTGAAGGTTTTGCTATATGATTGTCTATGCTTAGATGTAGTGAAGAAAGGATCAACAAATTCAGCGTATGACAAGCTTCGATACCGACATACCACTAGGACATGAGAACAAGGCAGCTTATATATGATTAGTTTTTGACAAGTGCAAGTTTTCCTTCTCACATAAACAGTGTGCACCTTAACCCCTTTACCAGAAGGACGATTACCTTGACCAGTTGTCACGTCATATAAACCTCGTTCATAATCAAAAGGCCTAACAGTGTGCGCTGCTGAATTTTGCAAGTTCAGTTCGATTATTTTTGTAGCCTTTTCACTCAAGGGAGCCCCAGTTCCTCATTATAAGAAACACTTTTGTTTCTCATAATGACATTTTTGAAAAATAATGTGATGTTTTTCACTGGTGGGAACCGCGTATGTATCATGAGTGGGAGCCCCAGATCTTAACACATACCCCATGAGAAACAAAACTTGTTTCTCATTGGAGAATTACCCTTTTCACAATACTCATAACCTTCTTCAAATCTCTTCTTACTCCACCCCCGCCTAGTCACAAAGTACGAATCACTCGGTAGAATGTCATTTTCACCAAAGCAGTGATGGGTAAACACCGAACTCCTTTCATCACGCCATTGAAAGCCTCTAACATATTTGTGGTCTTTATGCCATATCTGAAGCCACCATCATGCAAAAGTGACCACTGTTTCAATGGTTTATTTGCTAATCATTCACGAGCTTCCAACTTTATCTCACCTATCTTGTTGAAGTAATAGTTAAACTTATTTTGCTGGTGTGCATCCGCTGTACAGCCAAACAAGTTCTTCAAGTGAGCATTTTTGAATTCAAAATTGAAATTAGAAGCAAGATACAAAACCTGTGATGAGCATAAGGCTCCTCCCATCCACTACCCACCTCTGTCATTGTTTTCAAAATTGATGTCTTTGGGTAACAAATTGTCTTATGCATGCCATAAACCACTCCCAAGCCTCACCAGTCTCTCCTTCAACAACAGCAAAGGCAGAGGAAACAATTGAAAATTTGCATCTGTAGCCGTAGCGATGAGAAGTGTTCCCTTACACTTTCCATAAAGATGAGTGCCATCAATGGTGATAAGAAGCCGATAATGATGAAAGCCGTCAATAGACGGCTTAAACGCCCAAAATACTCTCTTAAACACATGAACAGAAGGATCTGATGTATGTACTGTGCACCAATGAACTACGGTTCCTCTGTTGCCTCTTGAAGTGCTTACATATACTTGGGCAACTCTTCGTATGATTTCTCCCAATCGCCAAAAATGCTAGCAATAGCCTTTTGCTTCCTAACCAAGCCCTCTTATATGTTATGGTATAGTGAAAGCGATCCTTGATGACTTGCACAATGGCATGTACTTTGAAAGAAGGATCAGCTCGTATGAGATCTAAAATGATGCTACATACAAAGTCAGAAGTGATAAGAGGATGGTCAACTTTGTTGATGTCAGATACACAATTAGGTGCACGAGGTCCCTCATATTCATGGGCGGAGCTAGAAGGGGACATGTGGGGACACTTGTCCCCCCATTTTCAAAAAAAAAAATTTAAAAAAAAAAAAAAAATTTAAAAAAAAAAAATTTAAAAAAAAAAATGCAATTACAGATTTACAGTGCTCTGTTGCGTTGCGACATTTGCCAGCCAGCCAAACCCTAAGTTTTTCAATTTTCAATTTCTCTCTCTTCGATTCGCCCTCGCCTATCGCCTAGCCGGCTCGCCGTGACGCCGTCCACCGTTCGCCGGCAGTTCGCAGCAGTGACGAGGTTCAACAGCCGCCCTTGAGCCTTCGTCCTTCGTGACTTCGTGTCTTCGTGACTTCGTCTGTTCGTCAATCGCCTAGCCGGCTCGCCGTGACGCCGTCCACCGTTCGCCGGCAGTTCGCAGCAGTGACGAGGTTCAACAACCGCCCTTGAGCCTTCGTCCTTCGTGACTTCGTGTCTTCGTGACAGCGTGACTTCGTCATATGCATTTCAATGGAGGTATGAATCAATGAATGTATGATTAATTGAATAATTGATTACTTGTTTTGTTGTTTAAATGTTTAATTGTTTAAATTTACAGTAAATCTGAAATTCTGAATTTCATATTTTTATTACTTGTTTAAATGTTTAATTGTTTATATTTTTATTGTGAATTTGTCATTTGTGGCCTTGTGGGTATTGATTATTGAATAATTTGAATTGATAAATGATTATTGATTTATATTTGTTTGATTGTTTCCCCTGTTAGAGTTTTTGGTTGTTTTTGTGAAATGTGAATTTAAATTATTAATTATTGTAAATTATTGAAATCTGTAGTTGAATTAGAAATTTAAAATCTTAGCCTCTTAGGTTTTGTTATTATGTAATGATGTGGATTGTGGTCTTGTGTAAATTGATATATAATTTTCAATTTAACTAGGAAATATCAAAAGATTCACCAAATTCAAACAAATCAAAGGCAACTAAACAACCCGATCTTCGACAATTCTTGTTTAAAAGAATGAGACTCAATGAAAATGAGTCCAATAACTCACCTTCAGTTAGCTCCCCTCAAAGTCAAGAAAATAGTATGGAAATGGGTGGTTCAAGTAATAGTAATGTACCATTAGAGGAAGATTTGGTGTATGATGTTGAACTTCTTCCTCATGATCCGGGAAAAAGAATAAACATTATGGATTACCCCGCAAATGAACGAAATGCTGTTAGGAGGGGTTATATTCTTAAAAAACCTTGCCAACCAAAAACTCATGTCTTCCCTACAAGACAAGTGTCTGGTTTGCGTCGCTTTAGTGTTCATTGGTTCAACAAATGGGATTGGCTTGAATATAGTATTGAAAAAGATGCTGCATTTTGTTTTGTATGTTACTTGTTCAAGAATGAAGTTGGTATTAAACCGGGGGGTGATGCATTTGTTGATGGAGGGTTTAGGGCATGGAATAAACCGGAAAGATTTGAGAAGCATGTTGGTGGAATTAAAAGTGCTCATAATCTTGCTTATGAGAAATATGTGAATTTAAGAGATGAAAAAAAGAAATCAATCTTGAATGTGATTGACAATGCAAGTGATGTGATTAAAAGTGAATATTTTATCCGCTTGAAAGCATCTTTATCTTGTTTAAGATTTCTTTTGGGGCAAGGTTTGGCATTTCGTGGACATGATGAAAGTGGGGAGTCATATAATAGGGGTAATTTCCTTGAGCTTTTGAAATGGTTAGGAGAAAAGGTTGAGGAAGTAAGGATACATACTCTTGAAAATGCACCTAAAAATTGTCAAATGACTTCCCCTCCTATTCAAAAGGACATTATTAACTGTTGTGCCAAAGAAACAACTAGGTGCATAATAGAAGAAGTTGGTGATGATTACTTTGCTATATTGGCCGATGAGTCAAGTGATGTGTCCCAAAAAGAACAACTAGCTCTTGTTTTGCGTTTTGTTGATAGAGATAGTGGAAAGGTAATGGAGCGATTTTTAGGCATTGTTCATGTTGCTAATACTACCGCTTTAACTCTTAAAGATGCAATCATGTCTTTACTTGTTGAACATTCATTGAGCCCATCTATGATAAGAGGGCAAGGGTATGATGGAGCTAGCAACATGAAGGGTGAAATAAATGGCCTTAAGACTTTGATTATGAATGATACTCCAAGTGCCTACTATATACATTGTTTTGCTCATCAACTTCAACTAACATTAGTTGCCGTTGCTAAAAAGAATGATAGTTGTGGTTGGCTTTTCGAGATACTTGGAAATTTGTTGAATGTGGTTGGAGTTTCTTGCAAGAGAAGAGAAATGATTCGTCAAGATCAAGCTCAAGAAGTTGCTCGAGCCTTGGATGTTGGGGATATTGTGAGTGGATCGGGTTTAAATCAAGAACTTGGTTTGAGTAGGCCCGGGGATACTCGTTGGAGTTCTCATTACAAGTCACTTTTAAATGCCATCCTCTTATTTCCTACAATTATTAAGGTGCTTGTACAAATTGGGAAGCATGGTGCATCGGAAGATAAGTTCAAAGCTCAAATTGTTTTAGGACAATTAGAGTCATTTGACTTTATTTTTGTTGCTCACTTGATGTTGACTATTTTTGGATACACTAATGATTTGTGTGTTGCTTTGCAAAGAAAGGAGCAAGATATTGTAAATGCCATGGAACTTGTCACTTATACAAAAACGGTGTTGCAAAAAATGAGGGAGCGAGGATGGGATACTCTCTTAAACAAGGTAACTTCATTTTGCACTAAACATGGTGTTGTTATTCCCACTATGGATTCTCTTTATGTTCCTCATGGAAGATCAAGACGTTTTGTTGAAGAAGCAACAAATGAACATCATTTTCGGGTTGGAATTTTCTTAAGATAATTGATTTGCATCTTCAAGAACTTGATGAACGATTTAATGAGAGGAATATGGAGTTACTATTATGTATGGCTTGTTTAAGTCCTAAAGATAACTTCTCATCCTTTGATAAAGATAAGGTACTTAAACTTGCCTCTTTTTATCCCGAAGAATTTTCAAGCTTTGATTTGATGGCTCTTGAATATCAACTTGATGTATTCATGGAGAATATGCTAAATGATGAAAGATTTCAAGGTTTAAATGACCTTAATTCTCTTTCTATGATGCTTGTTAAAACCAATAAGCATAAGACTTTTCCTCTTATTCATTTGCTTATCAAGTTGATGTTGATTCTTCCCGTTGCCACGGCAAGTGTTGAAAGAGTGTTTTCTGCAATGACATGTGTCAAAAACAAGTTGCGAAATAGCATGGGTGATCAACTTATGAATGATTGTTTGGTCACTTTTATTGAGAAGGATGTCTTCTTACGAGTTTCCGACGAAAAGATTATTGATCGATTTCAAAGTATGAAGACTCGAAGAATGAACTTGTAATTTTAATGTAATGTTTATGTAATTTTTTTCATCATTTTGAATTGTATGACTAAGTATATATTTGTATTTTGAAATTTTAATATTAAGTATTAACCAATTTGTGTGTGAGTTTTTTTTTGTTTTTATTTTTTGTTAAGCTTTTCGTAAGTTAAGCATTTTGTCCCCCAAGTTGAAAATCCTGGCTCCGCCACTGCTCATATTTGACAACTCTAAAGGTAGGAAGGGCTGGTTTTTTTATTGCACGTAACCTCCAAGGGCAATTGCATTCCTTCTTTCTTATGCACTCAACAACATATTTGTCCGACTCCACCTCCTTCACCTTGTATGTCTGATTTTTTGAAATAGAGTACATCTTCAGTGCATCTTTCAATTGCTGCAAGGAATCAAACTCCTAACCAACAACAAACTCACCATTAACAGCATAAGAATTGTTCCCTGGCCAAGTTCAAGCATCAACGGACTTTGGGTCAAACTCGGGAACATTGTTAAATTTTTGTGAAGGTGCACTTTCTTTGATAGCAACTTCATTAGCCTCTCGTACATCGTCATCTTCACCCTCATCGGAATCTACCCTAACATCATTAATACCTTGCAAGTCAATCTCGGGTTGTATCAAGTCATAATCACCCAAAGAGGTAGTTTCCATGGGTTGTGAGGGACGTGGAGATCCAAAATCTGACAAGTGCTCACTAATGTATTGATGATCTGTGAGCAATCTTGTAAATGATCCCATTTCTGCACTTGAATTTGTCAAGTTCAAGTTCATATCTGACCATGAGTCCATGGTAGGATAAGAACCCAAGTTAGTCACCAAACTTGGTTGTTTATGAACCTGTTCCAAATACAACTGCATACTAGACATTGTATTTTGTCTCACAGTATCTCACATAGCTGCTAATGAATTATCATCATTTAATTGAATAGCTACATGAGAACTATGAATTGAATCGGATACCGCATTCTAATTTTCAACTCCACATGCCTCGGATCACAGCCCACAACTTCATATATTTTATTCAAAACCTCCACAAATTTCAAAGTAGAACTTATAAACGCAAACTTAGTCTCTCCACTTACATATGAAATATCACCTCCTTTTTCAACAAGATCCCCGCCCATATAACATAGAAGAGGGAAATTTGAGATTTCCACAATCTAAAAAAGTAAAAAGCACAACTTCAGTATAAGTGGGTAATAAGTAAGTCATATGAATAATATATTAGTTAATTATATGACATATGAAAGAACATTCAACATGAAAAAAAAAATAATAATAATAATATTTACCAATACAATACTTATTAGTACATACTTTAGCATTAGCAGGAAGTATGAAACTAAGTGCACTACTTATTAGTACAAACTAAGTGCATTGATTGTTATCAAAATAGAAAAATATTAAATCAATTATCAACAATTGCTTGGTTATTCAAGTACTCACTATACTTCACCCACACCACTCGTAACACAGTAACACATAGTAGTTCTATTGATATTAGATTCCCCCAAATTTAGCAGAATACTAAGCTAGCTAGTATGATTTCATAGGTTCCAATCTAACAATAAACTTTCAATAAAATTGAAAGTTCTACCATCCTAGATTAATTCTAGTATGGAAATTATATAACTTACGAAGAAAATATATATATATATATGATGCGATAATACGATGACGTAGCCAACACGAGACATTGCATGTAAGAAACTAGAACATCTATAACTATTAATTTTCAATAATTAAAGTGATACGAAATTAATTTAGGGTTATGAAATAGGAACTGCAACTACTTTTAATGAATTTTTTATTAGAATTTCATATTATAAGTATACACTTAGAATTGTATTTTCAAAATTATTGTAAAAAGAAAAATCAAAATTAGGGCTAACCTTTCAATCAAGAGAAAGACTGATGAACTGAATTCCCGCACATGGAGGCTCGATCGACGGCGGCGAAGATAGCAGGTGTCAGGTGATAAACTCCGGCGACAAATCGGGGTACAACCCCAAACGTTGGAGTATAGACTAGAGTTGTAATTTCAACTCGGAAGAGATATAGTGGAGTCGTGCTTTTTCTGCTTTGGAGGAAGGCGAAGACGTGATTGATCAGCAACTTTTTGGTGCAGCAGGGCACACCGTGTGGCAGGGGTTATCTGAGTTATTTTGTTAGGGATTACCCGAGTTATTCAGTTAGGGGTTACTTGAGTTACCCGGTCATGGATAACTTGAGGGGTTCGAACAGGGATTACTCGAGGGGCTCATTCGTTCAAGAGTTACTTGAAGGGTTACTCGAGTTACTCGGTCAAGGGTTACTCGGTCATGGGTTACTCGAGTTACTCAGTTAGGAGTTATTTAAGAAGTTCGATCAGGGGTTACTTAAGGAGTTCGGTCATGGGTTACTTGAGGGGTTCGGACAGGGATTACTCGAGGGGTTCACTCGGTCAGGGGTTCACTCGGTCAGGGGTTACTCGGTCAAGGGTTACTCGAGGGGTTACTCGGTCATGGGTTACTCGAGTTACTCAGTTAGGAGTTATTTAAGGAGTTCGGTCGGGGGTTACTCGAGTAATTCGATCAGGGGTTACTTAAGGAGTTCGGTCAGGGGTTACTTTAGGGGTCAATCAGGGGTTACTCGAGAGGTTCGGTCATGGATTACTCGAGGGGTTACTCGCACAGGGGTTACTTGAGGGGTTACTCGATCAGGAGTAATTCAAGTAACCCTTGACCGAGTAACTAGAGTAACCCCGGCAATTCGAGTAATCCTTGACCGAGAAATTCGAGTAACCCTGACAACTCGAGTAACCCCTGACCGAGTAACCCCTCAATCGGATTGGCCCGGTTTATGCAGACCGACAATGGATCTGAATCTTCGATCCGGGTATTTTATGTACACCCCTACTCACGCATGCGTTACGTTCATAGAGGGCTAGTATTTGTAATTCCGAAATTTCCCACGTTACCATCATTGTCAAAGTTTGTAATTAGAATTATTTTCCACATAGCAAGCATATATAGTTTGGATTACTTTCTACCAATTCACTTACAAAAAATGCAAATAGTATATTAAAAGAAATCGAAGCTACTACGGAGTAGTAAATTATGACACTAATATAGCAACCCTATGTTGAGCATTTAGACGTGTTGAAATGACTTAAGAGTTTGAGGCAATTTGCCTAGACCTAGGGTTATCAATTTTCCATTAAGAACCTATATTTTCCTTAAGTGGTAATCATATTTCACTAATTCAATTTGTTTTTTTCTATTTAAAAGTGGAGAAATTTGACTTTGTTATTATAATCACCGCAAAAATTTACCCCTAATCATTTAATTCGTTTCAAATCAAGAAGATTAATTGATAACCCACTTATTCTTGCCTCATTTGTGGTAACTCCATTAAAAACTTATTACCTCATCAATCTTTAACAAGCTATATTATCTATATAATGGTTTAACTCTTGGATAGTTTAAGACATATGATCAAGACTCATCTCCAATTTTTGATCTGTAAGTTTTTTGTTGCTTTGATTAATTAATTTTAGGAGAATCGTCTTGTTTCTTGCTATATATGCTCGTTAATTGGCTTTAAATTTTGATCACATTCCACTTAAACTGAGATTTATTTTTATTGTTTTTTTTTTTTTTTTTTCATAATTGCTTCAATTGATACTTAGTTTAACTTATTTCGGAATAGAGGTAATAATTAGATAGATGATGTTGACGAATTTGTTTTTATGCCTTTTATACCATCTCTAACGACTTTGATCAACCAAGCAATCATCAATAAATAAACAAACATATTTTATAGAGATTCTACAGCATACATTTTGGGCGAATGCTAATTAATTAACTTAGCTGGTAAAATATTAAGGTCCTGTTCACTTCACCTTATTTTTGCTAAACTGAAAATATTTTTATTGAACTGAAATTATTTTTGCTGAACTGAAATAATTTTTACTGATTCCCTTTTATATTTCTTCTTTAGAATTACTGATTTTTACATAATTGAAATTAATTTTACTGAAGTGAAATGATTTTTACTGAATAATTTTTTTTTTTTAAAGGTGAACTAAACAAGACCTTAAAACAGTAAAAATTTGATATTAAATCATGTCCACATCAATGATTTTTTAAGCTAATTATAGATAAAAACACTTAGCCATGCATTTAAACATTTACATGACATTAGTTTTATATTGATTATTTTCAAATATTATACTACCTACGTTAAATATTTTGTGCAACTTTTACTATTTTTGGCCGCTAAACATTATGTGCAACCAAAAAATTTCTTTCCTCTTTTAGTAAAAAAAAACTGGTCAAAAGTCCATTTTACCCTCATTTAAAAAATTAAAACACATTTTACTAAGGCCCTGTTCACTTCACCTTTAAAAAAATAATATTAAGTAAAAATAATTTCATTTTAGTAAAAATAATTTCAGTTCAGTAAAAATAGGTTCAGTTCAGTAAAAATAATTTCAGTTAGGTATAAATAATTTTTGTTCAGTAAAATTAATTTCATTTTAGTAAAAATAAGTTCAGTCCAATAAAGTTCAGTATCTATACAAAAGAAATATAATAGAAAATCAGTAAAAATAATTTCAGTTTAGCAAAAATAATTTCAGTTCAGTAAAATTAATTTCAGTTTAACAAAAATAATTTCAGTTCAGTAAAATTAATTTCAATTCAGTAAAATTAATTTCAGTTCAGTAAAAATAATTTAAGTTCTGCAAAAATAATTTCAGTTCAGTAATAATAATTTCAGTTCAGCAAAATAAGGTAAAGTAAACGGGACCTAACTATAATCAGATTTAATTAATCACTAATTCTCTCTCCTCTTTCAATCTTCATCTTCATCTTCCCCCATATTTTCTCTTTCCTCTTTCAATCTCATTATCTTTTTGAATCTTCTTTAGATCTTCTTTCTCTCTCTTCAACTTTCAAGAAATTAAATTCATGGTGGGTTTTGTCGGATTTGTGGGGATTTTGTGGTGGTTTTCATCGGATTTGTGTTGGGTTTTCGTGGGGTGAGTTTTGAACATTTTGTGGTGGTGGGATTTCGTCGCGCCGGGGTGGTCGTCTAGGTTTCGTGGAGGAGAGTTTGTGGTGGTGGAATTTTGTGTGGGTGGCGGTGGGTTTCGTAGAGGTGGTGGCCTGGGTTTTCGTGAGGGTGGTGGTGGTGGTTTCGTGCGGTTGTTTTTGTGGAGGTGGTGGCCTAGGTTTTCATGAGGGTGGTGGTGGTGGTTTTGTGGGGGTGGTAGTGGTGGTGGTAAAGCCGGTGTTGAAGGCGTGGTGGTGTCGGTGAAGGTGGTGTAGGTGGTGTTGGCTGGTGTTGGTGGTGACAGTGGGTGATTGCCTAATTATCCACACATTCTCTCTCCTCCTTAATAACATACCCCTTTGATTCATTCTCTCTCTTACTTTAATTAGTTCCCATTACTTTTCCTAATCTTTGCCCCTCAAATTTTGCCTTGATTTCTGTAAACCCCTCCAAAGTTGTATAAAACATTTAACGAAGGTAGTATATAGAATTTAAAATATGTTATATAATGCATTAGTACTCTTCAATTGACAAGTAGATTATAGTGCATTGACATTTTAAACGAACAAATAATAGATCGTTGAGAAATTTAATCAATTATATATGTTTTATTTTCTGAACAGAAAAGGTGTTACAAAATGAAGCTTCAAAGTGTTACAGTAATACTTATAATCGCAACCATATGTGTGATTGGCAATATGAAAGCTTTGGGAGTGAATATAGAAGAGAAGCTTGGAACCCCCCAACCTAAAGAAAACGAATATGAAAGTGCTCCATTGTCTTCTACCAATTCTCACCATGAGATTCCATTGTATAAATATGTCCCTCCATGAGAAAATAGCTATATAGGAGAAGAAATAATGGGCTAATATATGTTCAAGTATGAAATAAATTATCTATGATCTTTAGTCTTGCGAACGATGTGGTTATGTTATGTACGCATGTAGAGTAGTAGTTCTCACCTCGTGGTGTATGATTCGATTCTCACTGGCTAGGGAGATTGTGCTACTTGTACATGGCCAATATGGGTATGTTTTGTATGTCTTGTACGAGTCATACCTTAAATTAGTGACATGTACTTGTAAGCAATATGTACGTATTAGTATTTGGTGGAATAATGTCCCTTTGTAAGTTTTAAAGATTGGTAAGGCTCTATAAAATTACAAGTCCTACTCAATTATGTTACAAAGTTTACCAATCTGATGCCAAAGCTCCAATTTTTTATTCGGCTTATTTCGTATTTTTTTATTTTATTGGAAGATTATAAACTCATTTTTGGAAACAATAGAACGAAATTATTTCCCAATTTTGTAACATCATTACACAACTTATATTAATATGTAAATATGTTATACAACCTTGAAATATCAAAGCAAAACAACTAAAACCTCACTAGTCACAACCATAGCATACAAATCTTGCAACAACAAAAACTTCTTATAAACTATTTAGGGCAAAGATGTAGAGCGATATATTATACAGTATTTCTAATATCTCATATCTCTAACAAAAGATGCACTCTGAGAGTCTTTAGTCCATTGTCTCTTGGTGGTTGTTGTCATCGCCTCTGCATATATCACCAGTATCGCGGTGGCTGATAGTGGTTGGTTGATCAGATAAAGGTTGACCCTTTAATAGCCCCGCAAACAGCTCCGCAGGATCAAAATAGATTTCTAGGTCCTCTGCTTTCATCGATTCATCCACCTACATAGAAATTCAATATATTCATTGTTGTACACAAATAAATTTAGAGTCAAGAGTCCATACCATCAAGGTGAGCACCTACAACTTGCCCTCCTAAATGTATACGAAGTATTTCACTATGAAAAAAAATAAATTAATTTTTGCCTATTATAATATGAATGTCATTTTGTTGGGGCTCCAACAAAGAGTGAGTCCTCGTATTATTTCACATGGTATAAGATCTTAGAATCCTAGGATTTCGTATTTTATGTGTTTCATTATTCTTTTATTATTTCTTTATTATTTCACAAAAAAGTTAAGTTTAGTAAAATAAGTTAAGGAGATAAAACAATACTTCGTATAATAAAGTTGTACCTTCAAAATGCCAAGGCCATAAAACTGAACCATTTCTCCGGTAGGAGCATGACCTTTATAAGGTCCTTCAAAGTAACCCCAATGTCTAAACTTGTAAGCAATAACAGGCGGTCCTGAATACACAGAGATCACCTCCCATGCGAACCCTCTAGGTAACGCAGCTCGAAACGAGTCGTGTGATGATTCAAATGTCTCTTCACTGGCTTTGTAATATGTCTGGAATTCTTCTGGCATTGAACTCTTTAATAAGGAATTGTAACTCCCAAGCCTTAGCACTTCTTCCCCCGTTAACCCTTCTCTTCCTGTTACAAACACAACATACATATATGATATATACTCTTTTAGTGGCCTATCATTATAATAAGTTGTTAGTGTGGTTTACATTATTTGTTTTTGGTAAAGATGTTGTTTACATTTGTTATAAGTACTAACTTCCATATACAATGTACATATAGGCCAGGGCAGAGCCACATTGAAGCAAACCACTAGTGAATTCATTTTCTTTTATGTACACTAATGGTCTAATACTTCAACAATAAAGAAAATAAATTCACTCAACAATAATCGAATCCAATTAAAAAAATATTTTGGAGGAATACGCACGAATACCTAATCAATGCTGATGATATTGATTGCAAAACCTATAGCATGACATTTTGTAAATATTGATATTTGATATGTACATAAGATAACACAAAATACGTAAATAGTACAATTAGATGGTATACTGGTAGATATAATTTTTTTCTGCTAGTGGTACAAATAGATATGTAAATGGTATATCATATATTATACCATTGTGAGATCTATAGTACTTGTAGATGAAATAACTCTAGAGGTGACGGCAATAAATCGATTTGTTCTGAATCCAGAGAATTCAGATATGTAATTATTTAAATAAGGTGAAAAGAACATGACCTTGCTAGTATTATAGTGATGTTTTGAACCGAATTGCTCTATATTATTCTATACTAAACAATCGTAACGTAATTGTAATACTTTATTTATTGTAAAAAAATTGTCTTTCAAGGTATTTAGGGTCTATTTTTGCATTTATGAGAATGTCTCCAAATCGTAATATGACCTTATGTGACGTGTACTTTATAAGAAATTTAGATAGTTAACTAGTTATACATGAGTTTTGGTAGGAAGATATATGTAAAAAAATATTGATGAGAATGATGCTTTTCCGTTCAATTCTTTTTTAGTCGCATATAGTAAGGTCCTGTTTTATTCACATTATTTTTGTTGAACTGAAATTATTTTTACTGAATTGAAATATTTTTTGCTGAACTTAAATTTTTTTACTGAACTAAATTTATTGTTATTGATTCTCTATTAAATTTCTTCTTTAAAATTATTACTCCCTCTGTGTTTTAATAAGTGTTACAGTTTGAGTTTTTTCACTATTCACATAGTGGTTTTGACTTGATTATTTACTAATATAGAAAGAAACAAATGTTGTTGTATAATACATTGTTAGATTCTTTATAATGTATGCTTTCATAATACCAATTTTCTTATAAATTTACTAACATATAATAAGCTTGAAAATAACATGAAATCGGACAAAAAGGACATATGTCTTTCGGAAATATACCGCATATGTTTTTAACTAATTCAAAATAACATTATATTGGACGTAAATAACACATGATAGAACGAAAATAACAATTGATTGAAAAATAGTAACCAAGTCGATTAAAAAAATAACAATGTTCAAACATGTTATATATTAGCTTCAGCTTAGTTTTTAGAACATGTAATTTTTCTTATTATTTTTCTAGTACAGTGAGCACAAATATCACAGTGCTCCCGAATATAATATAAATTGCACTTCATATCAGACTTCTCTCTTCTCTCACACCCAATCAATTGACTACCCATCCTATTTTATATCTCGTTCCTCATAATTACTACCTCCACCCCCACTTGACACCTCTCTCATCCGCCTATTGCACCGCACCACCACCACTATCACTAAAAACATCGGTAAATTAAATAAATAGAAATCGTACTTTGGCAAAAACATCAGCAATGGTGGTAGTAAAATCTGAGACATCGATACACTCTTTAAAAGTTTCGAACAATTAACGAGAGAGAAAATTGCTTATGAATAACACCCACATCAATGACAGATCTAGAATTTCTAAGTAAATATCTCTCTAAGAAACAAACAAATGCATGGACAATTTTTCATTCTACAGTACTTTTTTATTTGAAAAATTACGAAATATATATTTGAAAAATACTTGTTAGGATGAATCTAACGAGATTAGACAATCAGATCAGACCAGGTCAGATCATAAAAACGATACCATATCAGAATACCTTAAATATGAAGAAGGGAAACATATGATTACATTTATACGAGTAGGTTTTATATTCGCCTATGAAAGTAACATTCCCACCCCTTAATCATCCCAATATAAAGGATTCAATTCTTATATTATTTAATCCGTCTTCAAAAATTCCTCAAAATGAATTCACTAGGTTTATTCTTGATGTTAGTGTCTTTCATTTCTTTTCTTTTGCCTACTCATTCTACTTCAACCTTTCCAATTTGCAATCATGTGTAATCAATATTGTATAGTGTCAATTACTGTAAAGTGAACACATCTAAGGTATTAGTGTGTTCAAATATTCTAATCACTAAATGATTAGACCAAATAGAGTATTGTTATGACTATGAAAATAAATTTGTGTGCCAAAAAGAAAAGTTTCATAATAAATAGAGTATTTGTTATGATTTTTATGTCATTTACCAATAATGACGAACTTATAGTTTGGAAAAAAAAAAAAAAAAGAGGTCAATTCTATTAAATGTAACAAAACATAAGTTATAGAAATTAGTGAATTATACCTTTTAATTTTTTAAAGATTTTTTTGACTTTTACCACCAAAAAAAACAAAAATTGATTTTTACCACCAAAACTTCTAAAACTTTTATTTTACCACCAAAAAAATTTTAAAAATTGTTTTTTTACCACCTACCGTCAAGAAAACCGTTAAATCTAACGGTTGGACAAAAAATTCTTCGATTTTTGTGCGTAAAACATGTTCTACACAAGTTTAGGGGGGCATTTTGTAGGGTCAGTCCAATTTGAGGTCAAAATTGACAAAAATTGATCGAAAATGCCTTATTTTGCGTGTTTCACGCAAATCGAGGTATTTTTTAGTAGGAAAAACGAGCCATTTACGATTATTTTTTATCAATTCTGACCTCAAATTGGACCCATAAGCCCAAAATGCCCCCCAAAGCCCCTAAAGACCATGTGTTTGGCGCGAAAATCAAAGCATTTAAAAAATTCCGTTAGGTTAACCGGTTTTTTTTGACGGCAGGTGGTAAAAATCATTTTTTTTTTTTGGTAAAATAAAAGTTTTTGAAGTTTTGGTGGTAAGAAACAATTTCTTAATTTTTTTGGTGGTAAAAGTCGAAAAATCCAAATTTTAACTAGTTGGATTATACCATTAATGCAGATTTTAACATATTAATCCCATTTTTATATTTTTCATTATGAATTGTCTCGTGTTATATGACTTTTTAATTTTAAGAAAGGTTTTGTTTCTCCTTGACTATTAGTTGGGTTTCAACTTCACCCACTCATATATTTTTCTTAATTAAACTATTTTTTTTTAATACTTGAAGCAATTGGTGTTTTTAGATGAAATACAACAAAAAAAATATATATAAACTAGTTTTGTGCCCGGGCGATGTCCAGATTGTTGATAACAATTTTGTAAAAAAAAAAAAAAAAAAAAAAAAAAAAAAAAAAATTGGTTTGGATGTTAAATACAATCATATATTCTCTTTTAATATTGTAGATTATTTAGACAAACGATATCATATCGCTTGTTTATATAATAGTTTACTTTTTGCAGTTTTGTTTGTAAATAGATATCTAATAGAGAAGCCCGTGTGATGCACGATTTCTTTGTATTTTTTCAAATAAAATATTTTACTAAATATATATTTATCTAATAAACTTTGTGATATTCGCTTGCTTACTATTTGAATTTTTTTATTATAAAAATGAATTATTAACTTTGTTTCTCATGTTTTGATAAAATTCGTAATATAAAAAGATAATATTTTATTTCATAATGTTTCATATGTGACTCAATCGATCAAATTTATATCTAGTCACACCGTGTGGTCAGGATTACTTAATCGGGAGTTACTTGATTGATCAAGGGTTACTCAATCGATCAGGGGTTACTCGGACGGTCAAGGGTTACTCGGTCAGTGTTTGGGTGTGTTCCAGCCGGCCACACGATATGGTCAGCCACACAAAAAACGCGTTGATTTTATTTTTATAATTAATATAAAATTTTTTATTTTAAATAAATTTCAATTCTTTTTTATCATTGCCTAAAAATATAACATTTTCCTATGTAACGCTCTAAAATTAATCTTACATGGCATAATCCTATTGTAGCGTTTTAAAATTATTAATCCTACGTGGTGTTTCTTTTTTATTATAATCCTACGTAGCGTTTTTAAAATATTAATCCTAAGTGGCGCTCTAATAACTTTTTAGAAAATAAAATCCTATGTGGCACTCTAAAAACTCGGGAAAAAACTCCCCTTTATATATATACTAGTTTTGTGCCTGTGCGATGCCCAAATGGTTGATAAAATTTTATGATAACATATTTATATAAGGGTTTATTGAATTTATATATTTTACCAATGTTAAATATGGTCAAATAATTCGTTTTGACAGTGTAGGGTATTTAGGCATACGATATCATATCGAGTGTGCTTTGAATAGTTTTGTTTGTAAATAGATATCTGTGTTATTATTGACTTGAAATCATTTTTATTGAGCTTAAATTATTTTCAATGAACTGAAAGTATTTTTACCAAACTAAAATTATTTTTATTGATTAAAACTTATTTACTGATTCTTTAATATTTTTTTAAAATAATTATTTAAATATATAATAATGCATTTTGTATGCGGCTAACCACACCATCTGGCCAGACAAAAGAACCCCAATAAAACTGATCGAGTAACCCCCTGTAATACTAACTGGGTAACCTCTAACACTAAGTAACCCCTATCTATACACTGATTGAGTAACCACTATAACACTGACCAAGTAACCCCTATAGCACTAACGAAGTAACTCTGGTCTTGTAATAGTTGGTGACACGGTTTGGCCAGCTACGTATAAATGTTTGTAATTAAATATATTATTAATCGATCTTATTTTAAAGAACTTTTTAAAACGAATTTGATAATTGAAATAGAATTGAGTTATAGGATATTTATTAAAAGTTGAGATTAATTTTGTATATATGAAATATTAGAATTTTATCGATAATATAACTCTATGCAATAATTTTATCTTAAAAAATCTATCCAAAAATCGCATATTTAGCATCATATGTGTCACAATAATATCTATTTATTATCTCCTACGTGGCGCGACACTTGACGAAAAACTGGAATGTCAAGTGTCGTTGTGTCGTTGCTTGGCTGTGAGACCGGCTTTATTTATTAGTGATATGGTATTAGATTTTGGTTGAAAGTTTGGATTAAAATTTGGTCCTAGATGTTGCCACTTGGACCAAATTAAAGAAATTAATATAATAGAGAAGATATTTGTTTAATTAAAGTACGTCTTTTTTTTGGTAATAGGATTCAACTAATAGAATTATGGGAAATTGTATAAGATATCTCTCAAGTTTCAAAAAGTCTATATGGTGGGTGGGTAAAAAATTTATTCTATAAAGTGACAGCCAACTTTCTAATAATATACATAGTGACCCTAATAAGCTAATTTCATGGTTAACCTATCATTAAATACCAAATTATTGACCTATCCTTTAGTTAAATCAATAATCACAGAAATATTGCTTTCTTAGTAGTCCACTAAACACAATATTTCTATTTAGGGTTTTTCAGAGAGGAGTTAGAAGAGAGGAAAAATAAAAAAAAATAAAAAATAAAAACCTTTTAAAATCTTATTATTTTTAAGACTCTTTTTCCGTATCAACCTATACTATATACTAAAGTAATCACTAAGAAAAAGGAAAAACCGGTAAATATTAATCACTACTTTGGGCCATTTACTTTAATTAATCCCAACTTTCGATTATTTTTGAATAATCCCAACTTTGGGGGTCATTTTATTTTAACAGGCTAAATGACCGGTGACCTGATGATGGGTTTTTTTTTTTTTTAAATGCCACATGTCTTATTATCATTGGTTAAAAAAAATATATGAAAGGAAAACAAAAATATTCAGAAAATTAAAAAAAAAAAAAAAAACAGCCACCATTACCAACCCCTAGCCTCCACCGGCTGGCTACCACGCCGATGCCCAAAACCCTAACTCACCTCCCTCCCTGCGCCGATGGCAGATCCCCCTTCCCACCTCCCCTCATCTTCCCCCCTTCGCCGGTGCCCAGACGCAACCTAGCCCTCCTCTCCCACCCCAATCTCCCTCCCCCACTCACGAAAACCACCAAACGTCCCTCCCCCACCATCGAAAACCCTAGCGGCATGGTGGGGGATGGGCGTTTGGTGGTTTTCATGAGTAGGGGAGGGGGGTTGCGTGGTTTCGTGAGTGGGGGAGGGAGATCGAGGTGGTTGTGTGCGACGCAAGGGGTGGTGACTAGGGGCGGTGGAGGGGCGACGTAGGAGTAGGTGAGGGTCGGGGGGCCAGCGAGGGAGGGGACTAGAACTGGGCGGTCAAGGAGGGGATTACGGTGGTCTGGTGAGGGGAAGGGGAGAGGCTGGGATTTTTGGTTTTTTTTTCCAATTTTTATAATTTTTGTAATTTTTAATTTTATTTTTATTTTTTGGATCAATCAGGGCTTGACATATATCAACTAACCTATTACAATAAGTCATTGACTTTTGTTGACCGATCAAGACCTGATAGAAGAAAATGCCCCCCCAAAGTTGAGATTAAATAATCGAAAGTTGGGTTAATTAAAGTAAATGGCCCAACGTTGGGATTAATGATACCAATTTTTCCTAAGAAATATTCAATGTCATAAAAAAAAAAACTTTGGTTATATGACACTTTGTCATTTTCTAGTGTGTCAAAAAAAAAAAATTCAAATTCTTAACATCAAGGATTTTTTTTAAGAGATTTTTGTATTTAACTATGTATAAAAAGCTTGCCAAGAAAGATTATGAATAAATATTTTAAGTCGGTTGATTATTGAGAGAAAATATAGTGGTACTACATAAGAGAGAATGAATAATATTGTGCAAAAGAAATTTATTATTTACGGGTTAAATACATATTGTTAAGATATTCATTTGGTAAACAAAAAGAAAATGATATAAATTTGTTGGTGAAACATATATAAAATATACCTATATACGTATTTTAAAATATCTATTTTGATAATAATAGACTACTACGTATTTCATAATAAATTCACTTTATGAATTAATAACTTAGCTAGAATTTTTTTTATATATAATTAAATATAGTGTTAATTAAAGAATAATTATTGAAAGTTACGTGTATGGCATGAGACCTAATCTAGACCTTTCATATATTCATTTGAACTACTTATATTCTCTTTCTTTTTTTTTATAATGTGAAAATACGGAGTACAAGTTTATCTCTTTAATAAACAAATATGTATATCACAGGGGCAAAAGTGTCACTTTTTCCGTAAAAATGGGTAAGTAGCGATTTTGCCTTAAAACCACTACTCGGTTTTGCTCTTTGATAAACGAAACTTGTTTACCACGGAGATTAATTGGGGCGGCCTTTTTATAATTAATATTTCTGTGATGTAGTAATTTGTTTCTTTTATGACTTGTTTTGTTTCTTTAATTATGTTAGACTAGGTTAACCTCTCGTAACTTTAGTTTTTGTATTTTCAAAGCGGCTAAATAATGAGAAAAGGCATTAAAAAAAATTCCTACAAATGGAAGATAAAATAATAAATAGATAACAAATTACCATTGACAAAGAGCCTGAACTTCTCAGGGCAAATAGATTTAAAGTCTTGCAAACGAGTTTTGTGGGAAAACTCCATCTCCCATGTCTTGATTGCATTTTGGACTGTTTCTTCAAGTGAACCTTTTGGCCAAACCTGAAATCATTTTTTTTAGTTAGTTTACTAAAAAATATTGCATGTAAATACTTATATCTTAATGTAATTATAATTAATCACCACGATTCTCATATTTTAGAATAATTAATTCAAGAGGGAGGTATTTAAACTTCCACAATTATTCATTATTAGAGTTTGGAATTTCATAATGCTCTAATGGATAGCCGAACTTGAAACCTCAAAGTCACCGGGCCAAGTTCCACATGCACTATTAGACCAGTTTCAAGTTGTAGACAATGACTACACAAGAAACTTATGAATAATCAACATGTCAATCTTGTTCACAAGCTACTCGAGTCAAGCTTTTGTACGTTCTAACTCATTTACCCCTAGCCAAAATTGAGTTGCTTGTGAATCAACTATACTCGTCATTACAAGCTAAGAGACGGATTAGCTCGTACATGTAAGAGATCGAATGAGAGAGTACGTCGTACCTTTGTTCTTCCTTCTTCAAAGAGCTTGTTAACCTCGTAGAAAATTGGAGGACCACCATGTCTCCATTGGATGTCTTTGTTTTCTGTTTCTTCATGCAAGATAGTTCTATACTTGTCTCCTGCCACCTTAATAGCAATTTCCTTTTGTTCATCTTCCATCTTTAATTTCAATAATTAACAAAGTTTGGTGTAGTTGATCCAAACATAAGACCATATATATATCTACGTACTAAATCTTATCACTGCCTATAAAGGCCAAAGAAAAGCATGTCAACTGTTTAAATCTCCTGAATTTGTTCCTCAATTTCGTCATAAAATTCATGGCAATTGTCCGTTTCACAATAGTAAGTTTACATGAAAACAAAGGTGACCGAAAGAAATACTCTCTCCGTTCTGTTTCCTTTTTGGGTGTCTTAAAATAATTTTCTTATATCTATTAGATCTTGCTAATGAACGTCCTGTGGCGTTAAATAAGCATTTAACATATTATCTAAAGTGGTATTAATTTGGGAATGCATGACAAAATCACGTGTTAATCGGTGTAATTAATGTTTATTTTAATTTAATCTTTCTACTTTTAGTTATCTTATCCAACGTTCTCGAGGCGTTCATTAGCTTTTGTCATATCTATAATCCAAGTAAGTTATGCACACATAAAATAGTTTATGCATTGGATTCCATTTTTTATGTTTTTAATTCAAGAATGAGTTGAATACAAGAAAAAAGATTTAAACTTATATCTCCTACCAATATTAAATGTGTAATTCTAATCCTGATTCTTTTCATATGTTACATTTTTTTATTTTACAGTTTTCATTGAAAATCTTTGATCATGAATAATAAAATTAAATGTGAAAAAAACTATAAAAAAAGAAATTTGAAAAGTCATTTCAAAATGAATCTAACAATATCTAACATAATATGTTAATTATCTTTATAATAGTGTAATTTTATAATAGTTGTCCACAAAAATCAAAACATAACAATTAAAAAAATGGATTAATAAAAATACAATTACAAATGTAAAATAGAAGTTGCACACCATATTTCAATTTTCTTAATTCACTCACGTGAAATTTTCATAATTGAGAAAAGTATAGTAAGACAGAGGAAGTAAAATATAGTTGTAGTCTTGTACCTCGTACACTGCATTTGTAATCAAGAAATAGGCCAGAAATTATTTATCAGTGAAACTTTACAAAGTAGCCGCTATAATTGCCTATACCTACGTTGCTACGAACTCACGCCACCGTATGTCAAAAAAAAAAAAAAAAAAAAAAAAAAAAAAATCTCACGCCACTCGGTACTGATATTTTTGGCCCTATTTACAACTAGTGTTCTAAAGTCTAAACTTCTAATACATCCACTTTAGATTACAGGTGCTATAACTCAAGACTTTAGAAGTTCTCACTTCTTAGTCTGACATTATACACGTCCCAAATTCTCTAACGCTTTTGAGATTACTACCTCACGAATAAAGTACAATGCAATATGTTATTGTGCGTAAAGGTGTCAATTTAGATGTTTGGATCGGCTTTAGTGAGGTCGAGTCAATTTTTAAAGTCGAATCATGCTAAATTATAATGAATTCCAAATTTATCACCAAGATAAACTTTTTATCTTGTGGCAATTAGGTAAATAACTTGCTTTGATATTCGTGCAACAATACACCTAGCAACTTCTGTACATAATTTTGTTATGTTTGCTTCCATTAATAGAGAAAGCTCACATCTAATTCATCAAGAAGTGACAGCTCATCTTCAATGGAGAAAGCTATGGAGGAGAGAAAGCTCACCTACCCTTGAAGGATTAACCATGCCCTAAATTACTCTATTTTCCTTAGGGTTTTTGTTTAATTCGACAGCGAAACCACCTTTAATGTCAGTGTTGGTTCACAAGGAAGATGAAGATGGTGGTCACTGGTCGGCTCATAGTTAGAAGATGAAGGTGGTGGTCAGTTTCTGGTTGTGGATCGAAGGAGGGAGGAGATGAAGGAAGAAGATGGCGGTGGTTTTGATGGTGTTCAGAGGAGGAAGAAGGAGATGAAGGAAGAAGAAAGAGGATGAATTTACAAATGTACCCTTCACTTTATTGCGAAAATGACAATTTTAATCCTTGATAAACTTGTCCAAGTTTATCAAACTGATCGATTGGGTCTACCTCCTAAATTATTGTGTTCACACAAGTCAAAATTTGAATCGGATATTTTCAGGTCGATTTCATATCAGATCGGATGTGGGTTTGACACCTCTAATTGTGCGAGAAGAACATCTCAACCTCCACAGTACTTTGAAACTCTAATCTCCAGTGTCAAATTTTGTCAATAGCTATAAGTGATTCAGATTTTGGAATGATGTTAACATAGCTTTTAAACACAATATTGATACATTTTGTGTATATAAGAATGAATTGTTTCTAAGACTACACAACTTACAACTAAAAGGATACTCTGTACTAGGAGATCAATCCTGGAATAGAGTCAGGATCACAACGGCTCTCCTCCGCAAGTGCTAGAGTTAACATTTCTGTACAAAACTGATCGTCTGGCTTCAGCCACAATGCCTGTTGAGAAGATGTGAAATTATTTGCTAAAGAATTCACAAAACAAAAGGCAATGGGGGAGAGAGACAACAAAAGAAAGACACACAAGATGTTCATATTGAAATGTTGCTGTTTGATATTGAACAAGCCAACGTGATCCAAATTCTCCTCATGCAGAAGAGATTGATATACATTATTTTGCGGCAATAATTCAGACAAAAGACAAACATGAAACACAAATTTACCTTGTGATAATGTGTAATGGCAGCACTATAATCTCCCTGCGTGAAACATTGAAACAACAGATTGTTAACATTACCAAAGTGTCCGTACTGTCATTTCTAGGATGCTATGTGTCCAAATAGAATGACTGAAGTAAATCACTGAGAGACTAGAAGCAGTCTTATAATCAGTCTAGTAGCCTTGTTTCTTGATGAAAGATAGATACCCAAATAAACAAGTGCAGAGTCTAGTTCATTAGCATGCTCACTTGCACGCTCCTAAGGCCAATGATTCTTGCATAATCCTATACTATATGTGAAGAACATGCATGCTAAACTATTGCTGATGAACAATTCAAGTAGACATCGCAAGGGGAAAGCAGTTTTATAATCATTCTAGCCTTATTTACAGCATAGAAAAAACATTTATTTTTTACGTTCATTAGCATACTCAATTCGAAGGCCAATGATCCCTGCATATTCCTAAACTACAAAGTGTACAGGCATGCTAAATTATCGCTGATGAACAAATAAAGTAGACATCTTGAGGCTGTACTTTCTATTCCTTGGTTGGGGGTAGCCGGTAGGGAGAAGGGGAAGCAAAACTAGAGTTACTGGAAAGGATGTCTAATTACAAATGCTAAAACATGACATTGGCTCATTCAGATCAAACCAGAGAGAGAGAGAGAGAGAATAGGGAAACTTCGGATATCAAACTAGAGTTATTGAAAAGGATGTCTAATTACAAATGCTAAAACATGACATTGGCTCATTCAGATCAAACCTGAGAGAGAGAGAGAGAGAGAATAGGGAAACTTCAGATATCAAACTAGAGTTATTGGAAAGGATGTCTAATTACAAATGCTAAAACATGACATTGGCTCATTCAGATCAAACCCATAAGAATATAGATTTGAACAATACACACCTTCAAATGATAAGTGTAAGCAAGACCTGAATAAGTACTTAAACTCTTGGTAGATAAATTTAGTGCTTTCTCATAATATTTGATAGCCTCAGGATATATCCTGAAAAATAATAACAAAAAAAATACCATGAAGCCATGGGTCTCATTGCATAGTAAATTAGGCAGACTTCTTGTATATTTGCAATATGAAACCGCATAACATCAAACACAAATCAAATGCAGTCAATTTACTAATACATTCAAGAAGTTTAAGCAAAAGGGAGCCGAGAGGACTTAAATAAGTAAATCCTCATTTTTTTTTTGAGGTTTTCAAGGGGGTACTCACTTTCTTCACTTGCCAGTTCCCACTAAATGCTCATTACACGAGCATAAAGGTTATGGGGACTTATGGCAACAAACACCTTAAAAAATGCAAGTAGCAGGGAATTGAAAACCTAATAATGTATTCTGAAGATACAACCAGAAGATACAAGAAAATTAGAGCACATACGGGACAGATGGGCATAAATTAAGATGAACTGAATTCCGTAAAGATAAAGTAATATGGAATCAGACTAAGTTCCTATAGAATATTTACAAACGGAAAAAAAAAAACAAAAAAAAAAAAAAAAAAAAAAAAAAAAAACAGGGACTATGTAAAAACTCAACACCTGCATCGCAAATATAATTAACTATAAGAATGAACATACTTTAATTTCCTATATGCATGCGCAAGATTGACAATAGTGGGTTCCCATGTTGCGTTCATGGATGCTGGGATATTCGCCAATGTTTTCTCAAACCACCGAACTGCTTTTTTGTACCTGAAATTGCATAGAAGCTGCAATTAAAAAATGAGGATAGATAAAACCCTAAGAAAACATATATACTGAAGTTTTGAAAGCATATTGAGGAAGTCTAGTCTTTCCCTATTCATCATGCTAATACACCAAGTGCAATAAGTAAACAAATCTAAAATAAAAATCTAACCATGAATTCTAAAGCAAATCAGAGGTGAAAACACAGAAACTAGTTCAAGATACAAAAAAATCGTACACTAACACACATAGTTTTAAATCTTGGATGCAGCCACATTCATTGTAAGGCCCCGTTCACTTCACCTTATTTTTGTTAAAGTGAGTTTATTTTTACTGAATTGAAATTATTTTTGCCGAACTTAAATTATTTTTACGTAACTGAAATTAATTTTACTGAACTGAAATTATTTTTGCTGAACTGAAATTATTTTTGTTGAATAGAAATTATTTATACTGATTCTTTGTTATATTTCGTCTTTGAAGTTGCCGATTTTTACCGAACTGAAATCATTTTTGCTGATCTGAAATTATTTTTACTGAATTGAAATTATTTTACTGAATATTATTTTTTTTAAGGTGAAATGACCAGGGCCTAACTATAACAGTCACGTAACCACATTCGCATGCAATGCGGGTGGAAAGTGGCTATTGCGGCCTAACATGTTGGTTGTGGTAAGCTCAAAATTCTTTGTAGCTTCGTGATGCGGAGATGCGGCAATGATTTAATACCATGCTAACATAATCTGAACAGTATTCCAGACATAAAAAAATAAATAAATAAAAGAAACTACTACAAGTAAAAAATCCCAAAAAAAAAAGCCTAATCGTGCAGGACATGGGTAAGAACACGAGTGATAACTGTTAACCAATATCATGTTAACTATTATCATCATAAAGACAACATTAGGATAGGTTCTGGTACTATTACAATTCAAGTAAACAACAATTCTAGGTTATTCCCCGGCTTGTTAGGTTCGTATTCCTAACAAAGCAAAAAACTTTGCTCAATGCTTGCTGGGAGAAGCTACACTCAGTTGCATGTAAATCTACATGCAACCTAGTAAAACAACCTAATGTGCTTTTATAATCATATAATGTGCATTTTATTTATTTTTTTAAAAATGTTATGCGCCTTTATAAAGATGTTTATGCTCTTTATGCTACATTCCTTTCTACCCCCTCCGTCACTTTTTGATGTGCCTATTTCTCAAAAAATACGATAATTATGGCGAATAGAGGTAATAGAGAAATATTGTATGGGAAAGATAAAAGTAGAGAATATTGTAAGGGAATCATAAAAAGTAAAGAATTTTGTAAGGGAAAGATAAAAAGTAAGTAATGATTATTTGGATATATGTGTATTTTGTATGGGAAAATAAAAAGTAATGATTATGTGCTATTTTTAATAACAGACACAACATTCACCAAAAAAATAATACAGGCACATTAAAAAGGGACGGAGGGAGTAGTTGTCTATGTGCTTTTATTTATTATCAATGTTCTTTCATAATAATAATAGTGTTTTTATTATAATGTTATGTGCTTTTGTTCAATACACATGTGCTTTTATCACAAGAAATGTACCAAAAACCTGGGTTGCACAGGGGTAGCGTATTGGAACATACACCTGGTTGCACAGGTTAGTTTTAATATATTTCTTTTTTTTTTTTTTTTTTTAAAAAGCAGTTTTAATATTAATCTATTACAGTAAAAAAGAAACACAAACATATTGAACAAAAGCACATAACATTAAAATAAAAGCACATACATTGTTATAGAAGCACATTGATGATAAACAAAAGCACATAGACAACAATAGGAAACAAATAATAGCATAATAAGCATAAACATCATTATAAATACACAATTTTTAAAAACAACACATTATTACTTTCAACAATGTTTTCCTTTGCAAGTATATCCATGCATTAGTACGGGCACATTCTAGATCCTTTATAGTACATCAATTTCGGCCAAGATTATATATATACATATATGATGATAAAATACGTTTTCAAGACACAAGGTAAAAAAAAAAAAAATTACCTTTAGCATTAACATTCTCACCACAACCAAGTGTGACTATGTCCCTTTTTAAGAAACCAATAATACAAAAACCCAACTACTCCAAGCTTTTATTACATTAAGAGTCAAACTCTTATAGCACAAGGTAGAAGGGTCTACCTTTAGCATAAACATTCTAATCATAAACAAGTGTGTTTATGCCATCTAAAAGAGACCTATAATATTAGAACCCAACCTGTGTTAGGCTCGTTCACTTCATCCTACATGTATATATATATATGTTGTAAAAATAATTTCACTTCAGTAAAATTAAATTCAATTCAGTAAAATTAAATTCAATTCAGTAAAAATAATTTCAGTTCGGTAAAAATTAGTACCATTATAAAAGAAATATAATAGAAAATCAATAAAAATAATTTCACTTCAATAAAATTAATTTCAATTCAGTAAAAATAATTTAACTTCAACAAAAATAATTTTATTTCAGCAAAAATAATTTGGTTCATTAAGAATAAGGTGAACTAAACAGGGCCTTACATGGACTTAAATAATAGGATACGATACTGGTACGGATCTGAGTGTCTGATACGTCCATGGTTCAAAAACTCGACCGTTACATCGCGAATCGGCCAAGATGTAATGGATTTCGAAGTTACCGTTAAGATATTTACCCGCTTTACAACACCCCGCGATTTCGGCCGATATGGCCGTTTTGAACTGAAATTCTGCCGCATCAAACATTACCAGCAAAAAACCGAAGAAAAAACACCGAATTTAAGCTCTCTAGACATTTTCCAACAAGTGGTTCTCAAATCTCCATAAAAGTCGAGGAGTTTTCTCTACCGAATAAAAAAGAAATCTTTTTAATAAAATGGGGTTGAGTCGGTTACAGCTGGTTATACCTCTTTTGAAGTTGACCGAACCCCACCCATTCTCTTTCCTTTTGCTTTTTTCTTATCTCACATCCCACGTGACCGCCACCCCTTCTTTGTCCCTTTTTTCAATCACTCCCTCAGTCACATAAGTAGAAGCCTATATTCCTTTTTGGGGTAAAAATATATGCCTATCTCTATTTAAAGAATGTACTTTTTGACAATATTCCACTCTTTTCGATGAGTTGTCATCATTTTTCTTTTATTTTTTTGCGTTTTTACATCATTTTCCAACACTTTCTCTCTCCATCTCATCAATTATTACCAACTTCCATTTTCTTTCACTGTATCTCTCTCTAACCCCACACACATATTTGTACTTCTCAATCATGTGTTTTAAGGAATCTCCAACTTTCTTAATTTCCGTGAAAACGGGAAATAGGCTTCTAGTTATGTGACGGAGGGAGTACTAATTTGCTTCCCAAGCCCCACAACAACCAAATATATATATATATATATATATATATATATATATATATATATATTTTAATTCTAAAATATAAAGAGTATATGAATACTGAGTAGTAAAAAGGGAAATACAGCAGTATATTTGTATAAGAATATAAGATATTTAAAATTCATGAGAAAAATCATTGTAAAATACAGAGTTTAAAACATAAATATATTTTAACTTCTTACGCGACAACAGCGATACGATCCGCGATCAACGCATCAATTCCGTTACATAATCAGCGCGACCGTTTCCACGATCGCGACCGAAACCACATTTTCGAACCATGGATACGTCAATCCTGAAATTTCTAAACATGGGGACTCTGTCCGACTTTTGGACATGGTGAAAGTCTTTATTTTTAAGAATCTTTATTTTTAAAAATGTTTTTCAAAAGGAAATTTTAAATTAAATATACAGCCTTTATTTATTTAATTTTTCTATCAAAAAATAAAATTCAATAATTTTTAGTGCGTGAAAACTAAAGTATCTCCATTCCTTGTTAAAGATAAAATGAAGTGTTTGCGTGTATGTGAGAAGTTAGAAAAATGATTTTATTTCCTAATAGTTACGAAGTTACCAGACTCATCACGTGATTAGTACCTTTCCAAAGAAAATAGAGAGAATGAGTGAGGTTAATACTTAAAAGCTAAAAAAGAAAATCCCATGTTTACTAAGGCCATGTATCTAATTCATTCTCTCTATGGAAAATGATCTATGTTTCCCTTTTCTTTTTTTTAATTCTTTTGACCCCACTCATTCTATTAAACCTTAGGGTCATCTGGTATCGCAATTGACCATCGTTTATTAAAGTAGAACAAGGTTGGAAAGTTAGATAATCCCTTCTTTCATGCACCCTATTTGAAGGATCATGTCTCCTACTAAGTGAACATACGGTACAGTCATTGTCAGCCAAGTTCAAGTAGTGAAGCCTTAAACTAAACCATAGTTTACTTAAAATGGATGGTTCCTTGATGAAAATTGTTTGGAGAGGGGGGGGGGGGGGGGGTTCCTGCTAGGTACCTTTGGTTTTGGAGATTCAGGCGTGTTTCAGTATTTCTTTGCTACCAGCTACAGTTAATAGTCTGATTCTACAAGTGCTAGGGATTCCTTGTGTCATTTCAATTTCCTTATCTTGTTCTGGTTACCAAACTGCTATATAAATCATGATTGGCTTTTATATACCAATATCTTTTTTCATAATAACATTAGCAATATATAAAATTCAATACTAACAAGACATTTCAATTGTCAGGTTAATGAATCTCAACTCTTAAAAAACTCAATAGGGAATTAGCTCTTTCAAGTCACACTTTGTTAATACTTTGCCTTAAAAAATATTGCTGTTTAGGTCTTGATGAGTAAGCATTTGAAAAAATTAGTGACTGACCATAGTATCCCTCCAACCAAACCATTATTCATTGTCCATGAAAAGCTTGACTCCAAGGAAAGAGAAAAGATGATTTATAAGATGTCGAAGAGAAGACAAGAGGCAAGGAAAGATATTGGCATGGTAAAGTGTGTCAAAGATAAGAACCAAATTGTTCTAGTACAAGATGAGGACATCAAGGATAGGTGGAAGGGGTACTTCGATGAATTGTTTAATGGAAGCCATGGAGTTGTAACAGGAGATACCTCTATCAGTGATGAAGAAATCAACATGGAGTATGTGCGGAGGATTAGGAGAGTAAAGGTGGAGATTGCACTGAAGAAGATGAAGCCTAAGAAGGCGATTGGCCATGATGGTATACCGATAGAGGTGTGGAGGTGTTTGGGTAAGAATAGTATTGACAGACCTCTTTAACAAAATATAGAGGGCTACAAGGATCCCGCAAGATTGAAGGAAGAGCACCTTGGTCCCGCTTTATAAAAACAAAGGAGACACTCAAGATTGTTCTAAGTATCGAGGGATCAACCTTATGAGCCACACTATGAAGTTGTGGCAAAGAGTGATTGAACCTAGGTTGAGGGCTTACACAAGCATTCGGATAACTAATTTGGTTTTATACCTGGTAGATCTGCTATGGAAGCAATCCATTTAATAAGACAAATAATGGAGTTTTAAAAGGTAAAGAAGAAGGATCTTAGGTCTTTATTGATTTAGAGAAGGCACATGACAAGGTGCCAACTGCCAAGAGAGGTACTTTAGTGGGCAATGTTGAAGAAAGGTATCCCACGAAGGTACGTGAACCTGTCAGGACGTATCAACAAACGTGAGGACATGTGGAGGGTTAACAAAAGATTTCCATATTACAATTGGATTGCATCAAGAGTCTGCATTAAGCCCTTTTCTTTTTGCAACAGTTATAGATGAAGTAACCAGACCAATTCAAGATGAGGTTGCATGGTATATGTTGTTTACGGATGATATCGTTTTGGTGGATGAAACTAGAGATGGGGTTAATGACAAATTGGAGCAATTGAGGCAAAGGTTGGAATGTAGAGGGTTTAAGCTAAGTCGGAGTAAGACGGAATAGTTGGTACGCCGCTTTGGTGCTCAGAGGAGGGACAAGCGATGATGTGGTGAGTTTGGATGGAAATGGTGACATTGATCAAGACGTGGCCCACAGGATTAAGTCGGGGTGGCTTAAGTGGAGAGCGGCCACGGGAGTGTTATGTGACCAAAGCATTCCATTACAGTTGAAGGGAAAATTCTATAGGACTGTCGTAAGACCAGTGTTGTTCTATAGTACAGAATGTTGGGCTTCTAAGAAGGAGCACATTAAAAAGATGAAGGTTACGGAAATGCGCATATTAAGGTGGATGTGCGGGAACACTCTGAGAGATTGATTGATTGATTGAATATTTCCAAATGTCCACCCTCCACTAACTTGGCTCTCAATCTATTCTTGACCTAATTTTTGGCATTTCATATATATCATAATCATAAGCATAACTGCACTACTGTGCTGATGTTGCCTTCTAGTCCATGATCAAGACCGAATTCACAATAAAAAAAAACAATTACAAAGAGAAGGGAAAATATGCTCAAAGAGAGCTTATTTCACTTATGTAACCTTCACCATAATAAAGCTCTCACAATTCCTAAATCACTGTGTTAAATTTTAGACGGCAGTCTAAAAGATGATTGGTAGCAGCTAAGACAAAAGTGCAGGGTGATTAACTAGAGTGTAAGACATTATGCGGACCAACTGCAATAGATATGACTGCTTGATCAAGCAGATCAACTATAAACGGGTTTTACTGGGAAATACTGTTCCTGTACACCTATGCAGTAAAGGAACCTTACCAGTTCTATGTACTACCTTTGTTCCCGAAAGTTTTTTGCGGTTACTTTTTGCACACAAGTAATGTAACTGGTGAGAGAGTGAGTGTAAAAAAAAGGTGGATAGAGTAGGATAGAGTGTAAAAAGGTGGGTGAAGGTAAGAAAAAGGTGGTAAAGGTAAGAGTACAAAAGGTGGGTGGTTTAAGAAAATGTTGGAATTTGGAAAAAGTATGAGAGATTGGAAATATGTTGCCAAAATTGGAATAAAGTAAAAGTGTAAAGAACTTTTGGAGGTAGCCAGGTAGTACATTATTATGCATTTATGCTGCACCTTCTACAGAAGAAAACATAAGATTGATCAAATAGATTCAGAGAAAGCACAATCACCATTCACTATACAAGTCTCAGTATTAACAAATGCGTAAGTGGACAGCTTTTATATTTATTGCCAGATTTAACAAAAACCATTAGAGAAAGAACCAAAACATCACTTAAAAAGAAAGAGGGGGGGGGGGGGGGGGGGGGGGGGGGGGGGGGGGGGGGGGGGGGGGATAACTTACTCCTTCATGTGATATGCAACAACACCCAATTCATTATACACCAGAGGATCAGAAGAGCATATTGTTTGGGCCTGCAAAAAGAACTGTAAGAAAAAAATCAGTTTAAATCTACAGAGTACAGGACAAAAACTATTGAGAAAATTTTTTATCAATCAATGGGGGTTGATAAAAACGACAGATAAGAGTGCATAATTAAACAATGAGATGAACATGGAACAAGAAATCTAACAGACTATACACATTCAATGGGAAGAAGTGGACCTTTTGGGAAAAAATCTAATTAACTTCCTTGAAAGAGGCTGAACACAAAGGACATCTTCCCAGAGCCCTTCATGTCCAGAGCATAATAACAATAACTTGAGAAGTTCAAAATTTAAGCTAAATATTCAAGAGCAATCCAAGGACGCAAAGACAGGGAGAAATTAAGTTCTCACCCATGATCCATATAACGCTTTAAACCTAATAAGGCGTACAACAATTAGCTCACAAGGAGCACTTAGTCAGCAGACTGATCTTTTAATTTTGTCTAAATTAAGTGGTAAAAATTCATTTACGCCTTACCCAACAAAAGAATTTTGTAATTAATTTAGAAGAAAATAGACAGAACAAATTGAACTTTGTAGTACATCCACAGAATTATTAATTACAAAATTTATATCAAACAAACATAGATAATTTATCTCATCTTGCTATGCAAACTGGTTAGCTATAAACATGGATTTTTATTCTAGTCTATGATTCATCCACGGGCTCACATTTCCGCTCACGTCTAATGGTGCATCATCATTGTTGAATTCCTTTCTGGTATGTGAAGAATTAAAGATGATACCTAATCGTGAAATTTGCTAATCAGAACCTCTTGTAAGGATTCCTCATTTCATATTAAGGCTTCAAAATTATTTGCATTTTCATAGTGTTGCAGTGATGCTTACTCTCCAAGGACAACCTGATTTCTTTGTTTAAGTATCACTCCCTTTGCACCCCTTTAAACATCAAATTTGGGTTGAACTCTTTTAGGAGAGAAAATGTAGTGGAATTTTGTTGATTATAGGTGACTAAAAGTAGTAGGTATAGTTTAGTATTTTTTAGAGAAAGTGAGAGTTATTGAGGGCCAAAGGTGGGGAGATAAGAGGATTAAGAACAAAATTTTACTTCATAAATCCAACCCAAAATGAGAAATCAGAAAGTTATTGGGAAATAGGCATTTTGTGAGAAATGAGAAGTTTGATAAACAACAGAGATAGTAAAATCATAAAAATAAATATCTTACAAATACACATTAAGGCGGATCTAAGATCTAATAAGATCCTACATGAAAAATAACAATGTATAATATTATATGTTGATGATCATATATGGTAAAAGATTTTTGATTTTGACCTAAAAAGTAAAAGTTTTGTAACTAGAATGAAACGGAAGAAGTATATGGGAGTAAATACGAAACCTAGGAGAATGTTCGGTCTTCCACATATGAGTCGTGTGCCTTTAATAGGAGGAATAGGAAACAGTGTACCCGAGATTTTTCTATAAAAAAATGGCTTGGGGTTGGAGGAGATGGTTACTAACTGAAACCTTTAGGATAAGCAATCAAAAGTTAAGCTCTAATAGTGTAATCCTTTTTCAAATTATCTTAAACTCCTAGTTGGTTTAGTAAGCTAAAAAGAGTTTTATCAACAGTTCTATGATCCAGTTATTTGGCATCCATCATATTTACCCTTGTAAATTGGAATCTATATTTATAATAATTCTTCTGCAGAATGTCCATATGGCACACTCCACTTGACTAGCATCTTTGGTGCCATGTTATACACTAAAATAACAATTAACACCACTCAAGGTATAAGTTAGGACTTAAGAGTTAGTAAGATATTGCATCGAATGGATTCCCTTCTCTTTTTATCTTAGCAAACAATAAAAACAAAATTTTACACAATGAACAAGCCAAATGCCAATACTTGAGCCAAAACATCTTGACAGAAAGGTTTGATACCATCAATCAATCTGATAGCAGAATCGTGACTGTTGAATCAAATAAATTTTAAACAGCTAGAAACACAAAGCCAAGGCCAAATGAAAAACAAGGGGAAATTTAACCGACCTAGATAATGTTTAAGGTTACTTAATTTAATATTATTGGTTGTAAGTCTCCTAAATCTTTCTGTTACTCTCACCTATAATGCTGCTTTACTTTAAGCCCAAACTTATGTAGCTAAAATTTATTCTCCCAAACTCACCAAACCTTTCTCTTCAAGATTGCCACGGAAATAACTGGCTATTGTACTTTGCAACAAAGACATAGAACTAGAATACTAGCCTCTCATGCATCACATGAAATTTAAAACTACTTTACTGCCAATATATGGTGGCTCACCTGCTCTGCAAGTTTGAAGCTGTGTGTTCGCATGTATTCCATGCCAATATACAAGGTTGGTAAATGACACCTGTAAGAAGATAATTTCAGGGAAAATAGTCAAATACATGGTGATAAGAAAACTTAAAAAGACATATAAGGCTTGCAAAGCAACTTTTATAGTTCCAAATAAAATTCATTGACAAGATGAAAAAAAAATATATTAAAAATAAAATATTAAAAAAATAAAATAAAAATTACAATACAGAGCCAAAGCAAGGGCAACCAAAGGCAGGTTTTGACAACAGCTAACAGAAAAATTAAGTGTAAGACCCTTAAAGTATCTGTAGTAATAACACCTAATATATAGCTGGACAACTAATAGTAAGAAATTATAAGAACCACAGTTATACATGGCTTTGTTGGCAATACAAATGACCATCTTCTCAATGAGTGAGATACATACTTTGGTGACAAAACTAAATAACATTGACAATATTCAAACCAAATTAAATTCAACAGGGGTACAAGTAATTGAAAAGTTAAAGTCAAAATAAAATGCTCAGTCCACAGTGAGTACAATAAAATTATGAAGTCATATCACATTCCACGAATAAAAGTGCTATAATAGCAGTTAGCTGAGGACAAAGAACACATAAGGGGGGGAAAAAAAATTCTTGACTAGATAAGACCATAAAAATTACCCAGGAAACAAACGAGCAGCAGTGCGGTAAGCCAACATTGCTTGATCACCTTCTTCTAAAGCAGCATATGCATTCCCTTGACCAATCCAAGAAGATAAAAATGTTCCTTCTAGACTTGTTGCTTTGCTATAGAAAATTGAAACATAGAAGGTACGAGATTATATTTCAGTAGTCTCATGTCATACAAAGTTAAGTTAAAAGAATCAATTCCAGAAACAATACAAGTTTGTGGCAGCAAGGTAAACATTCCCTATTTCCATTTACATGACATGGATCCAGTCCATGATGTGAATATTCAGAAGTTCTAAAAAAATAGTCTTGAGAAGTTAATTGTTTCGCATATTTAACAATAACTGCTGGAATGAAAGTCAGATTCCCATAAGTCCCTCTTTGATACATAGACCAAGGGAGATATGCTGATCTCCTACATAAAAGGCACAGAATCAAATGAAAGATTACATACAGAATCAGTAGCCCTAACCCACATAGTGATGTATATCTTATTCAACATTTTAATTGGCTTTATCTTTGCCATTAACACGAGCCTCTCCCTGTAAACAGACAAGCTTGATTTTCAAAACTTTATCTTGCACATAAGCCAAGCATATAAGTGAATAAAACACGTTTTTCCCAGGTTAACACTTTCCCTACTAGAAATGAAAACGTGATGAAACCTATAACATAAAGATTAATTATCAAGCTTAGCACAAGGAACAACCACTTAAATTTGTACGTACTAAATTCAAACCAATATTCTTTAAATGATATATAATTACATTTCCCTAGTTATCCTTGGTTTAACTTACTCCTTTTTACCCTTCCATTAACTAGTTACCTTGTTAACTCCCCCCCCCCCTTCCCTTCACTAACCCTTTCATATAATGTTTGCTTCAAACCTATCCTAAATTTCATTTAAATTTGTGCCCCTAAAGCTGTTAAAAGTAACTCATGTTTGAAAGGATGGTGATGATTATCCACCTACAGAGATTAACCTCTGTTTTATAACTTTTATTCTTGATGCCTATAGCTTTTTTTCTTGATGCCTATAGCTTTAACAGCTGCAAGGGGCCAAGGGCTACCAGTTAAGCCAGTAATACCAAAATACCACCAATATAGCTATAACTGGTACAAATGGGCAACCACCGCTTCTCCTAACCATCGATCAATATATCCTATCATTTAATATTACCAATAGTTAGTATATGTTGGCAGAGCTTAGCACAGTCAGGCATAATTAACGGGTATGGCCATCAAGATTGCTGCTGCAATAAAATCAAGCACACTAACAAAATAGGGGTATGCCCATCAAAAGCAAGACAATCAAGCATACAATAATAAGTGTATGTGTAAAACTTAAACACTAACCCAGCATACTACCAGTACTTTTACAGCATTTTTGTAAAGCTGATGTTTACAAATTTCCAATAATATTCAACTACATAATATTATGCTGAGGAGGCTTTAATTATAGTGGTACATCTCATCATCTTTTATATAATTGCATCAAAAAGTACCTTGAAGTCAGGGATAAAAAAAGATACTAGCATACTACTGTCTATTTACTTATTCAATAATATTATATGAATGCGTTTACGAATGTTGGTGTGCAGTTTATGAATCTTTTTTATATCTATCTACAAATACAATAACAAAAAAATTTGGCATATTTTGAAATTAGAGAATTGCAAGGAAAAATTTACTCTTCACTTTGATGATTCAATAAGGTATTGGCAATGAAACAAATGCACCAGGAAGTATCTTCATATGTAAGAAATGTAAATAAACTTTCACCAAATATCTCTTCTAGCTCATAGAGGACAATGGCTTTGGCACATAATCTGAAAGTGCAGACCATCTTAAAACAAAGAGATGGGAAACTTAGGTGACCTAGCAAGAACCAGATAAAATATCTGAACATCTGAGGAATAGCTTAGAGAAAAACAAAAGGCACAAAACAAAGCTTTGAGAAACAGGATCAGTCATTCAAGCAAGAAATACAAAGTAGACATAAAAGCATAAGTCCTGAATAATAAGTTGCAAGTACAACAAATTAAAAAAATTTCCCAACTCCCACCAGTAATCAAATATCATCCACATTGTTTATGGATCTTAGCCTCCTTATGTTCTTACTGTATTGCATGGATTGCAGATTCATAATTTGATATTAAAAATGTTGCCAAAGAAAGTAATACCTGAAATACCGGCGTGATTGGTCATACTTTCTTATGCAGTAATAGTAACATCCTACAGCAAACCATGACAGAGGCCTGGAGAAAAGAGAAAAAAAAATCAAAACAGGAATAGAAATATATTAAAAAAATAGAAAAAAAAAGGCTTTTCCTGACAAAATGGAGCACAGAGCCCCAAGAACCAAAAATAAAATTGATGCCAATGAATTAAGACATGATCCAGGGGCAAAGGGAGAGGGGGACACGATCCAGAGGCGGAGCCCCACAACAACAACAACAACAACAACAAAGCCTTAGTCCCAAAATGATTTAGGGTCAGCTAACATGATTTGTCATAAAGGACCGTACAATATAAAGGAAGTGACATAACAAGATAATCATTTGAAAGAGTTTGAAAAAAAGGTGAGTAAAGTGAGCAAATGAAAGAGCATCCAAGAAAAATTAAGGGAGTTTTAAAGGAGAACCAAGAATAAAATTCAAGAAAGTTTTACAGGAGTAGCTAAAACATTGGAGTAAAAAAAAACATAAAGGTTTGAGAAAACTTTAGCAAAGGAAAACAATACAACTCATAAAACATTAGTGGGATAAAATAATAAAACTAAATAAGAAAATAAATTTAGAAAGTAAATATAAAATCAAGACACGTTGTTGACATGAATTTTCTCTCCACACCACCCTATCCAACACCATATTTTCCTCATTCCCCAAAGCACTCATGTCACTCTCAAACAATCACCCTCTCTTCCAAGTTTTTTCATAAAATAAAATAAAATAAACTAAAAAAAATTCATTTTTTTTTTAAAGTTTTATTGTTTAAATTCCAATTTGTAATTGTTTGCTTGTTAATATTTTACACGTATATTCGTAAGGGATGGAGGAGGAAGATATTTGCTTGTTAATATCTTACATGTATATTTGTAAGGGATGAAGGAGGAAAGATTTTTGTGGATGACTATACAGAATAAACACTTTTGGTTCATGTACCCAAACCTACTTATGGGATGAAGGCTTTGATTATTAATTGATTGATATATGTAGTTTAGAACTTTGGATTACTTGAGCTGTTTTGAAAAAAATTTGAATCACACACTTGTTTTGTATAGAATTATAGAATTTATTATTTTATGAAAAAATTAGGGTTGTTCGATTGTTAATTTTTTACTTGTGTCAAATTGTTTAATAATTTTGATTATATGATATGATAATTGAATTATTGGTTTATATTTTTCAATTTAATTACAACATGTCAAATGTTCACTTAATTCAAACAAATCCAAGACAACGGGACAAAATACCCGATCTTCAACAATTTATATTTAAGAGAATGAAATCCCAAGGATATGATTGTCTTCATTTAGTTTCCCCCAAACTTAAGAAAATAATATGGAAATAAATGGTTCAAGTACTAGTAATCTACCACCAGAGAAGGAAGAATTGATATTATGATGTACTACCTCCGTTTTGCTAAGTTAGTTACTATAGCTACGTAAATCAAGGAAAAGTAAAAATAGGGACCTTACATATGGGTACTTTTGTAATAAAGAGGAGAGAGATAGGGAGTAAGTGATTTATTAAATAAAATTGGCCCCACAAAGTAGAGGTGTGGATGATAAAAACTGAAAAAAAAAAGTTGTCATAAAAGAAATAAAGTAAAAGTGAGTAAAACTTAGAAAAACGAATGAAAACGAAAAGGGGAGTAAGACTTAGGAAAACGGAGGTAAAATAACTTCTTCCTCATGATCCGAGAAAAAAAGAATGAGCAAAATAAATTATTCTCCAAATCAAAGAAATGCAGTGAGAATAGTTTATATTCTAAAATAAACCTTGCCAACCAAAAATGCATGAATGACTTCCCTCATAGACAAGTGTCTGATTTATATATATTTTTTCATCTTTTTTGGATTGTATGAACAAATATTTTGTATAATAAAAACTATCTATCTGTCAAGAATATTTTTTCTACATTTTTGTAAAATTATACAATGTCCATTTGTCCTCCCGGCTTGAAATTTCTAGCTCCGCCTATGACATGATCATTCCATAGAGTCTGATTCAGATATTTCCAAAACAAAATAAATGTGTAAGAAGAGATGTTTACGGAAAAAAAAAGGAATAAAATCAAAGATTCTAGAGAATGATGACCACTAAGTTGCAGCACTTCTGCAACTTCCTTAGAAACAAGTGCTATTATTATGCAAAAGGTACACTTCAGCTTCCAACAAATTAGAGGGAAGGAATGCATTATGAAATCCCCTCACAAGTCACAATATTGTGTCTAGTAGGAGGAGCCTTTCAACTTTGAGGCTTTGAGCAACTCAGAGGACAAAAAATGTTGGGATCCTCTCACTATTCTATTATTATGATGGAGAAAGTGAGAAGCCCTATTGTTTGGAAAAATCATCAGGTGGGAGAGTTCGATATGCAGTTTCTAATCAAGAGAGCAACTGTACCACAGTATCAATAGTGCTTTTCATCCAAAAACAAAATTGCAGATGATAATAAATCAGTGAAAAGACATCATGGAAAGAGCTAAGAAAATAAGCAACGCCATATTATCATTGGTCAGCTCTTAAAGAAATTGATGTTCAGAGAAGACTAGTATAATTTATACATATTCAAAAGGAATACAAGCATCAATGTAAATTTAGTAAAGCAACTTCATCCATGAACTTTTGGCACTGCAGTTTAGGTAACTTCAAACCTTATGTAAATTGTTAGAAACAATTTCCATAGAAGAGAGCTAGAACAGAAAATCTATAAATACTACCCCCATTTCATAATTTTCTCAACATAATCTGTTTTTGTCCATTTCATAATGTTCATAGCATATCTACTTTATTCTATTTTTGGCAAACCCCTTTTACTTTCTTACCCTTCTAGCCTTACAATATTTACACCTTTCCACTCACTCTCTTACTTTATCCACCTTTTTACGCTCTCTCTTACCTTGTCCACATTTTTCTTACATCAACCTACATTTTTACACACTCTCTTGCCTTAATTCTTTTGCAAACATCAAATGGTAAGAGTACTATGAAACAAAGGTATATTAAGGTGGCTTAAACAATAAAGCATGCAATACATGCATAAGGGAGGCTAAAATATGGTCAAAGCAAACCAAAAGTTGGAACAGAAGTTTGAACCCCCACCCCCCCAAGCCAACAATCTATTCTAACAATTGTACCAAGAGTATATATGGATTAATGGATACAATATAGGATTTCACTTTTTCTGGACAAAAATCCTCACAAATCAATAATTACTGAATTGATCCACTGGGTCATGTACTCATATTAGTTGAATGAAGTAAGATAAACATCATTACAAGCACAAGAGGAGCACGTAATGTAAAGTAGCAAACATTCAGAGGTGCGTTATTAACAAAGCAGATATAATTATACCCTAAATAACCATTAGGGACTAGAGAAAATGTCTCACTTTTGAGGATGATCTTTGACCAAATTGCAAGCCATAATATAGAGCTCATTTGACTGGCCGAGTTCCATGGCAGCAGCTAGATGTACCAAAGTACACTTCAGATGGAAGGGATCTTTTTCAAGCAATCTGAATGGATTAAAATATAAGACGAGAAACTTCAGCCTAGTCTGAATAGAGTTAGCTATAAAGGAACACGTCATATAAAACATTTAGAAACTCACAATGAAGTTAGTTCGAAACATTTCTGATATTCACCGCATTGATGGTAATATTCAGCTTTACAGGCCAACAAGTCAGTGTTATTCTTCAAAGTTCCATTAAAGGATGAATCTGATGAAGGACTGCAGGCATTTTCCTTCTCAACATCATCAAACATAGCTTCTACAACATTCTCTTTATCTTGCTAAACACATACATACGAATAAAACTAATCAAGGACATGAAAAAAAAAAAATTATACAGTTTCAATAATATTGATAAATATGACAAAATCAATCTATATTCTTCTTTCACAAATGTTGTTCATGCATTAATTGCTGCCCATTTTCAACATGAATTGCCCATTTTCAACATGAATTGCTATTAGAAAAGCAATATGGATAGAGTTTATTTTATTTTTTATTCCTCTATATATATGACTGTTTTTCAAAGAAAAGGATTTTCAATACTTAAAATAAGAAATAAGGAGGCACCAAACCAGATATTTCCACCAACAAGATGTCCTCATACTTATCTGTACACCAAAAAAAAGGTGCTTACCTTCTTTATTAGACAAGTATAAAATGAAGAAAGCCACCCGTCTTCATGGCTAAATTGCAATGATGAAAGTAGAGAGGATTCTGAAGAAAAAAGAAAAAGGAGACAGTTGGACATAAGACATTGGAAAAATGCAAAATTGTCTTCACTAAAATATTACATAAGCTAATCCAAAGGTTTCCATGACAAGGCAAGATGTTATTTGGAAATTGCTAACAGTCAGTATAGTTTTCAAAATCTACTCCTAATTGAATTTTACTTTAAAGATCATCAATGATTTACATCAGTCATCAGCCCTAAGCTTGCTAAAAGAAACTAGCTTAGCTGGTAGTATCTCTCAAAAAAAGATCTAAGAACAGGATTCAAATCTTTCTACTGCAAATTTTCCAACAGAAAACATTGATAAGTTTAATTATATATAACAAAATATGCCTAACTAGAGAAACACGGAGTATACAGACATATACCACTTATGTAGAATCTCCGGCAGTTAAATCAAGCCACACATACTAGAAAGTAGAGTTGATATATAACAGTTTTTTCCCCCTTTCGTTGATAAGATTTTAATGTCTGACCTAATTTTGTTGTTGGAGATTTCCACATCCGATGTCAAATAATAAACATTTGTTCACATATATTATAATTGGGTATATTGTTGTATATTTGCTTACATGGGTATGTCTACGGGATTTCCATAATTGGATATTGATACAAATCGAGCACCTTACCATCTTTAAATGTGACTTAACCTTACCCTTCTAGTGGAAGTTTTACATGTCGATTAATAATACTAATTGTTTAAGGGGTCTTTTGACCTTCAAAGTTATTTGGTTTAGTCATTTGGGCTTAGCTTAAATATAGGGCTAATTTCAGCTTTGCTTAGGAACCAAGAAACCTAATGGGAGGGCAACTTGGGTTGCAAGTAGGACTGTAGGAGTGGTGAATTAGAGGGTGGAAGTGATGCACATGCTTGCTCTCCAAGGCATCCTTCACATATTTCCTTTTTTTTCTATAGTATACTTACTTTCCAAAAATATTACTACCTCCGTTTCATAATGTTCTTAACATATTCCAATTTTGCCGGTTTCATAATGTTCTTAACATATCAACTCCTTTTTTAGCTACCCCTTCTACTAACTTATCCCCTACCCCACCATACTTACGTCTCTTCACCCACTATCCCACTTTACCTACCTTATTCATATAACCACCCACCTTTTTACACTCTCTTACTTTATCCAGCTTTTTCATACATACACACACACCCCCACCTTCCCCTTGCCTTAATTCTTATGAAAATAGTAAAAATTAAGAACATTATGAAATGGAGGTAGTATTTATTTTTCTAGGTAAGTATAGAGTGTTAGGGAGCACCAAGTTAAAACAATTAAGTGGTTGTTTTATATGTTCGGTTGGTGGCAACATAGAAATTAGAAAATGAAATTGCCTATGATGTTTTAACTCTCACCAAATGGATGAAGTTGCTTACCTAGTCCCCCCTAGGTAAGTAGAACTTTACATGGGAAGTAAGCTTCCAACATCCAACTACCAAACTTTGGCAATTTTTAGGCAATAAAACATCATAGGCATTTTAACTTTCTAAAAAGTAATAATTCCTACAGCTAACAAAACGGCAATCAGTTTGTGATTTGAGTAAATTTAAGCCTTGGCTTGCTATATCTACATGTGTGCTAAATCAAACACTTGAAAGCTTTTTGCTATTTTGAGTTCACCTAGGTTGACAACAGATTTTAGCCCTTTGAGGTTAAGGTACTATCCTTCATTTTGTCACTGGCTTGTGAGTTTCAGCTAAGGTTTAACACACTATAATTACAAGAAACCATCCAAGAATCTATCTTTCTTCAAGAACTTGCAAGTTTCAAATACTTTCACCAAACAGAGATTAAAAATATTATTTTTTATCAGGTATATTTTGTTAACTTCCTTCTCCATTATAACTCCTTAAAGAAAGAGGGAAGTAAAAGATTTTTAAGCTATAAACGATAAAAATTGTCCAACCTTCACTGCATGTAAGCATATGGTTTTCAATGAGGCGATCCAATGCCTGTACAAAACAAGGGAAAAAAAATTGTAAGATCTGTACATTTAGTGATTTTGTCCATGATATTCATGCAATATATCCAACCACAAGTCCACAATAAAAATTTAAATACAACCATTAATAATCAAATGCCAAAAAGACAGGTGGCTAAAAACAGAGGGATTAAGTAACTTATCCACTTTGCATATATATCACTAAAAGGCCCAATTCAGAAAAGTAATATGATGTCTTTCTCAAATAATAAGATTTTCACAAAGGAAAAATTATGAACTTTAAATAAGAGACAATCTAGGAAAGTTTGTCAGCCAGTCTCAAAAGCATACCTCATAACACAAAGGATCGGCTTTGACTGCAGCTATATACCTGAAAAGACAGGATTGTATACACAGTTTGGTCAGTAAAACTAAATTTTTTTACATTATGTGCCCTATGAGGTTGTGACTAATACTTTATATCTACTAACATCCAAGCAGCTAATTGCAACAAATGGTTAGAGCAGCGACTTTTGCTGCTTTTCTGATTTGCTTTATTGCATTATGATAAACAACAAAAGGAGAATTGTTAAGTCTCATTGGTTATAACTTCATAATACTACAACTATGCAATAAAAGTAACACTAAAATGTAGCAGAAAATCATTCATTATAAATATTATTATCTTCTAATTCAATGATCGTCAAGATTGACACCACAGTCATTTATAAAGAAACAAATTGACATAGCAAGAATAAAGCAACTCAACATTGACTTGGGACACGTTTAGTTTTTATGAGCTTTTTGAAATTATATTGTCTGGACTTATATTAATTTGTCTAAAGTTATCTACAGTAATTTAATTTTATCTGAACTTAAATTATTTTGTCTAAACTTATTAGAACTTATTTTGTCTGAACTTATCTGAAATAATTTTCTGAAAATACTTCTCTTGTTTGAACATGTTTACGAACTAAACTAAAACTTATATGAGCTTATATATGGGATTAAGGCTTTGATTGTTGTTTGTTGTTTTTTTGTTATTTAAATTATATGAACTTATGTTTTGAGTAAGATAAAATAAGTTAAAAAAAGATAAAACAAAGAAGCCCTTACTTACGCACACAAATATTCCCAAATAGTGAAAGAAAAAAAAACTGAGTTTTAGACAAAGGGTGCAAGTCAAAGCATTAGATGACAAATTAAAACCACCACAAAGAGGCTGAGACTCACCACTGGCGTGCTTGAGCACGATTTTCCAGAGCCTCATATGCTCTACCTCGGAGAAAACATATAGCTGCAGATATCTGCATAAAAAAATTTTATAGTCAATTTTAATCAGAATCAGTTTTCCTTTTAGCTTCTCCTTAGCTTATTTGAACAATTTTAGCAAAAATAAGTTTAAAAATATACATATACACAACCTCCATCACAAATACCTTACACGTCACTTTTAGGCATGTTTATTTTAAATAGTCTATACGTTCCTATATAGTTCATATGTTTTCCTTATAAGGTCATTTATATTTAGTTGACATAATTCTATTTATTTTCCCTTTGTTGACATATGTTATAAGCCCCGTGTTTTGGTGTATTTCTATGAAAACAATTAATAAATCACATCCCCACTCTCCAACAAAAGAAATGGTCCTCACAACCCATTAACTACAATAAACATTGGGAAATTCTCAATGGTAACCCTCTGTTTTTGCTTATTTCCATTGGTAGCCATTTTTTATTTTGGTTATCAATGGTAGCCTTCTAGTATTAAAAACTTAATTTTGTAGCCTTGTTGAAGCTAAAAACGTTAATTGACTGTTACATTAACCACAATAACTTTGGATAAACTATTGAATAAAAATAACCTAAAACATAAATTAATTAAATAAAATAAATAATATAATATAATAAAATATGCTATTATGTGAAATATTATGATAAGTTTTGAAGTACATTTTCAAAACAACAATTTATCATTTTTTTAATGGTCAAAGTTGTGTGTGTTGGCAAACATGAAACTTCAATAGTTGCGATGTATACTTGATTTCATTTAATTCATTATTCATAAACATTTAATTTTTGAGATTGCTACATTATTAGCATTGTTCATATCTAAAATTTCCGATTTTCCCAATAAAAAAATATTCAACAATTACATGCAAAACTGAAAGCCACTGCAAAGGGAAAACATACATTGATTTCATGGTCTTGAGCATCCTTGTCAAGGTACATAACACTTCTGTCTTTTGTGTCGCTTACATTACCATGTTCATCAAGTTTAGCATCTCCTAGCATTTGTAAACATTGATCCCACTCCTTTAGCTCCTCCTGGATTATGCACCAAAAGTGTAATAATTACCAAGCAATTCTATTGAGTTTGGCCTAGGTTAGATGTCCCACCAGCCTATCCAGATAGACAGACAGATAGGACTAAGCTTACAATAAATGTGCTATGCAGTATAGGCAAAGCCCTCATCATCTTCTTTACATCGGTGAATCGAAAACTAACAAACTTGTGTGTCAAATGATTAAACTAAAGGAAGGTCATACATGTACCCCAACGGACATCAGGTCTGCCCTTTATAAATCATGCTCATCGATCCAGATAGCCCTAAAGAGCATCTTGAATCATGATCAGACACTAACCATTGAACTATTCCATATAATTTGCATTGCATTTAACATATAAAGACATCCTACACATCTAACTTCCAGTCCTCTGCACAACATGGAATCAATTTTTATATAGGTCTCACAATTCATCATTGAAAGCAAATTATTTTCGGGAAAATGCCACAATGCCATGCTTGTAGTCATATTCCTTTCGAGAAAGATTATATAATCCAACATTATATTGTCTCACTAAGAAATTCACTTTTCCAAAATATTAATAAATAAATTAAGTATACACCATTGGATATCCCCCAAACTTAATTTAGTCATTTTAGTTCTGAACCTATGATTATTGTTTTCTAAAATTTTCATCCCTACCCTTGGCCAATAGACCCTATAGTATCAATCAGCTCATCTAAGCGTTATAGGTTAGCCATTTCTTCAACATAACAAAGCTCACTAGTTTAGCTGTTATTCCAAACTAAAAACACCAATCATTAGCGACAATCATATTTGAGATACTTAATAATACAATGATTCCGAACTACATATGCAAAAGCAACCATGAATGAGCACAATTAGCTCCAACAAGAACGTTTCTCCAATTTCACCATAGAATCTTTTGAGAACCGCCATTTGTTCAATTTCAACCAACCGAACAGTCAATACTGCACCAGTGAATTTCATTTCTGATTACACGACAAAACGACAGCAATGACAAAGCCTCACACTTTGTTTGGATAGAAGGAAATGAAAGGAAAAGAAAGGAAGAGAAAGGGAGGGGGACAAACTCTCTTGTTTGGGTAAAGGATTGGGGGAAGGAAGGGAAAGGAGAGGGACCAAACTTATGGATATCAACTAACTTAATTGGTCAAAGTCTTACATATCAGGTATCAAATCCCCTCCACATCAATTTGCCCTTTGCGACTCTCTCTACACCACCAATCCGAGACCATAACGTACTAATCTTACTAATACAATCAATTACAAAAACCCTAAACAATCAACACAACAAAAAAAACACTCAATTAAAATAAAAAAAATAAATAAATAAAAAAAAAGGTAAAGAAAGCGAGAAGAGTACGAACTAGGCATTTGGCGGCGAGGTAACGAAAGCGGAGGTCACGGAGGACAACGTGAGAGGCATTAAGGAGGTGAAAAGCGCGGCGAAAATGGCGGCCGAGGAAGAGAGCTTGAGCTTGCATATAAATATCGGCGGGGTCGGAGGTAAAGGCGGCGACTTTATCGGCGAAGAAAATGGCGGAGGAGTAGAGGTGTTTGCTAACACAGTCTCTCACTACTCCTCTTAGCTTCTCTATTTCTTCTTCCCTCATTTTTCTTTGTTTGATTCTGCAGTTTCAGAGAGGAGAGAGAAACTGGGAGGATGATTGAAGGGGAAAGAGCGGGAGTGGAAGGGTTTTGGTTATGCAGATTTTAATTTTTTTTTTTTTTTTTAATTTTTTTTTAAACGTTGGTTTGGACACGTTCTCTTCGACTTATTTCAGGTACTTATTATTTATTCTTAAATAAATTCAGATCAGCCCAGACCATACCAGAAATATTCAGATCAGACCAGATCAGAATTTTTAATTATCATTTATATATTGCTAAATATCGTTAATTGTGTATTAAAAAAATTTATGAAAATTACACATTTGAAAAGTTCATAATGAGACAAATCTAACAAAATTCATTTTGATAATATTTTTCTTTATAGATTAGCATTAAAATACAGTCAAAGTTTAGTCAAATTATTAAATCAGATCAGACCACATCAGATAATAAAAATTCTGATCAGACCTTATTAAAATTAGACCAGATTTCCTTGTTTCAGGTGAAGAGAACGAGTCCTTAATAGGGATGTCAGTAGGGCGGAGATGGATCTCGGTTTGGTGGGTGGTGGGGCGGGGATGGGGATAAAAACCATACCCGCCATGGGTGATGGGACGGGGGTACGTGGAATTTAGGTTGTACTCGCTCCATCCCCTCCCCGAACCACTTCATACCCGCCCCGCCCCCATTTCGTACCCGCCTGATACCCACATTCATATATTTTAAAAATAAAATTATACTTCGTACACTTTTATACTATTTAATATAAAAATATTAAGTAAAGTAATGATAGAAAGCATAATACGAAGTACTTTGTAATAGACTTATAATATTTAAAAAAAAAAAAAAGTGTAATATTAACAATGATTTTTTTTTTAATTGTCATCAATATTATTTGTATTTGGGAAGCGGGTCTTAGGTGGGGATGGATATTCGGGGGGTGGAGCGGGGATGGTTTTGAAATTGTACACGCGCGAAGCGGGAATGGGGATGAATATTGGACCCGTCGCAGAGATGGGGATGGAGATGGGAATGAGAATGATAGGCGAGGATGGGGATGGGAAGGTCAACATCCGACCCGCCCCGCCTTGTAATACCCCGTATTTTTATACATATTTTCAATTAAATCATTATTTTATGAAGTATTTAAATAATTCGAAATGAATTATTTATAGTATTCTATTAATTTAAAAAGGTTTATTTTAATTAAAGGTCCATTTTTATTTATTTAATTACTTTGAAAATATTTTATTTTGTTATTTAAAAACTTTGGGGCATAATTATTTTATGAAAGGAAATTTTAAAGTCAATGGAATTTAAAAAAAGTCAAAGACTAGTTTGAATAGGAGAGGGAATCAAGGGTATAAGGGGAATTTTAAGCTAGGAGGGTTTTGAGAGAGGGTATAAATACCCATCACATAAGCAAGTTAGACCTTGCCCAAGGTGGAGAATACCCAAAAGGTAAACTCTCTGTCTCTCCTCTAATTTTCTCTCCCCTTAATTTTCCCCCCTCCTCTTTTATTTTCTCACCTCCACGCCACACACCACACACGCCACCCACGAGTGGCCAGCCACCACCACAGCCACCCACCGGTCGGCCACCGCCACCAGCAGGCGCCGGCAGCAGCACCCTCATTAAAAAAAAAAATTCTTCTTTGTTTTAATTCAATCTAACTTTGATCTAATTATTGTTTTGTGAATCGCTAAACATCGCCCGCAAATTACCATATAAAGCCCACAAATATGACTTGGTGTGACCATTATGCCCATTTTCTAAAATTGAAATAATCTCGGTTTAAAAAATGTGGAGCCGTACTAGCTCGCCGGGGGAGACCGGAGGGCAGGCCGGAGATGCGGGGGACGCCGGAGGTACGTCGTCGTCGACGGAAAACGAGGTAAGTCACCGTTAAAATTCACGGTTTACCGTCGGAGTGGCTCCGGCGCCTAGGATGGACGCCCAAACCGTAGCCTGGACGTCCAAGCCAGACGCCAGAACCACCAGAGTGGCGTCCAGCCCAGACGCCAGAACCACCAGAGTGGCGTCCAGCCCAGACGCCAGAACCACCAGAGTGGCGTCCAGCCTAGACGCCCAGACCACCAGACTGGCGTCCTGGCCAGGCGCCACTCTACTGGCTGAGGCGGCCCTGCCAGGCGCCAGTCCAGTGGCTGTGGCAGCCCTGGCAGACGCCACCCTTATAAATTAATTTATTTTTTTTTTATTTTGTTATTGTTTTTTATTTATTTATTTATTTTTTAAAAAAAAATCGAAAATGATTTTTTAAAAAAATTCGAAATGGGTTTTTTTTTAAATTAATTTTGAAAATTCGAAATAGGTTTCTTTAAAATTAAGTTTGAAAATTCGAAATGGTATATTTTTAAATTTAGTTTGAAAATTCGAATTGGGTTTTTATAAAAATTAAGTTTGATTATACATAATTATGCTTTTTTTTGTGTTAATTCTGTGTAAATATAGAAATTAAATGTATTATCCGTTAAATGTATTTATTGTAATATATAATTGATGCAGGATTATGGTGGAGACGGAAATGATTACAGTGGGATATTTGGACATGATGGTCCATTCGAAGAAGCTCAACAGGCGATTGATTGGGCAAAACACGTTGCAATTGCAGCTGGATTTTGCTTGGTAGTAGTAACTCATAAATCTCAACGGGATGGTAGAATGGATCGCATTTTGAGATGTGACCGTTATCGCAAAAGAGAAGAAAGAGATTTTCGTACAACCACTCGGTTTGATACAAAGCGGAAAGGTTGTGGGTGTGAGTTCAGAGTAAAGGTTCGACAACTACGGAGTCGTGACGGTTGGGAAGTGATTGGTTACTCTAAATGGGGGTATCACAACCATGAGATGATAGTATATGAAGAGGGTCATCGACAGCTGAGCGGCTTAAGTCCTGCTGCGAAACTAGTTGTGAAAGAAATGAGTGATGCTCAAGTCAAGCCTGCTAAAATATTAGCATTTGTGTTAGAGAAATTTCCAGAAGACCATCCAAACCGAAGACACATCTACAACGTCAGACAGCAACTCAAGTTTGAACGGTCAGAGGGAAGGAACCCTATACAGCAGCTGCTACACCAGGCACAATCACGTGGTTACCTATTCTGGTTTGATTCTGATGAAGATACAGCGGAGGTGACTCATCTTTTCCTTGTGCATCCTGATTGTGCTGATATGATCAAGTCTTGGCCATTTGTGATTTTGATCGACTCAACGTACAAGACAAACAAGTACAAGTTCCCACTGGTTGAGATCATGGGGATGACTCCAACGAACCAGAACTTTCTGATTGGTCATGCAATCATCAAGGATGAGACGGCTCCAAGTTATTATTGGGTGTTGGAGAAGCTGAGAAACTACATCGGGCCTAATGTTCATCCAGCAGCCATCGTCAGCGACTGTGAGGGAGGTCTCTTTGCCCCCATAGCAGAGCTGTTTCCAGAATCGAACCACTTATTGTGCACATGGCACATCAACAATTGCGTGAAAGTGAAAGCCTACAACCTTTTCAACAAGAATTTGGAAATGGCAGAGAGATTGGTGAATGGTAAGTGGCGGAAGATCCTACAGGCTACCACAGAGGAAGCGTATGAGCGAGCATTGGCTAACTTCAGGGATTCGTACCAGTGGTGTCCGGCACTGGTGGACTATGTGATGCAGCAATGGGTCCCTCACAGGGAAAATTTTGTCAAATATTGGACAAACCAGGTACTTCATTTCGGGAACACTACAACAAGTAGAGTTGAGAGCGCTCATAGAGCTACTAAGGACTGGATTGATTCATCGACCGCTGCTTTGGATACACTGTTCGATAGACTTAACAAGTCAATTGAAACTTAGAAGAACGGCATCAGGAACTCTCTAGAGGACTCCAGACGACGACATGGTACGATGTATAGCCATTTTATATTTAAGATTCTCCATGGTCGTGTGTCGCACTACTGCTTGGGGTTGATTCTCACTGAGCTGAACAGGATGAGGGACTTGGCTGACGAAGTGTATGCTCGGTGTGGGTGTGCTATTTCAGTAACTCATGGATTACCTTGCGCATGCACCATTCACCGCGTTATTACAAAAGAAAGGGCGTCGATACATGTTGATCGGGTCCATTCATTCTGGAGGACGCTTGTTATTGGTGAGCATGCAGACACTCAAACGGCCGACCGTGAACAGGAGGAGTTGGAGCAGTTTCGTTCGATGTACGACCGAGTGTCCTCCAGCCATCCTTCTATTATTCGTGACGCTACTCATGTACTTCATGACATGTTTTACACGTCTACCTTAGATTATGAGGAACCCGAAGGAGTTGACCGTCCTCGAGGTCGACAACGGCGGAACAGGAGTGCGTTTGAGTATATCTGTGGTCTTGGTCGTGGTCGTGGTCGTGGTCGGACATCGTCATCTAGTCGTAGTCAATCTTCATCGTCTGTGAATATGCCCCTGAGAACTGGTATGTTTTGGTTGTTTACATTGCACATAGTTTTAAAGTGTTACTCCTGCCTTCTTAACTGTCTATAATTATATGGTGAATAGGAAGAAACGATGTTGATCAGTTTCCGTACAAGGAAAGGATACCTGCGATCATCATGTCGTACTTGGAAGGGTGGAATGATGTAGTCGGAGATGGTAACTGCGGATTCCGGGTCGTGGCTGATGTTTTTTCAAATGGGCGAAGACAACTACGGTTTGGTGCGTCAGTTGATGTACAGCGAAATTGCCTCTAACCGAAATGTTTATCGTCATGTGTACCAGGATGACTTGGATGTCGCTCTGCGGCGTATCCGGTGGGGAGGTGGACCTTGCGGCCAAAATCATTATTTTGACGCGCCCCTAGATCTGTTTGCCGTTGCAAACATTTACAAATGCGCAGTCATGCATTTCGGCTTGGGAGTGCATAGTCAAGCTTATTATCCTTGTACCACAGTTCTCCCTTGGCGGTCGCGTGAGACTGTCACCACACCGGTCAGAGAGCTAGCTATTGCGTTTCTTGGGTCGTCATACAGACATTTCATCCGACTAGACATGTCATCCGATTTTCCAGTGCCACTGATTATACCTCGGTGGTACAACATTTGCACAGCGAGCGTAGAGGGTTGGGATGCGCTATATCATGACCGGATCCACGAATGGAACACCCTAGCTGCATTTTAGTTTTTCATGTTTACATTCTTCCTATGTAATCTTATTTGTACGTTGCTCTAGTAATGAGAACTTTAATCTTTTATATTGTATTGTTTACTGCATTCTATATGTTGCATGGGTAAGTTGCGCGGATCCACGAACGGTTATATC